ATCATTAACCCTTTCATCATTATCATAGACAAACGCCTGACATGCTTTCCTTCCCTTTCGCGCACTTGATGTCGTTGTTGCTTTCGATGTTTATTTGAGGATCGCCAACAATTTACTTGGAGTTGCCGCTACCAAACCAGCTGGAAACCTCAGCTTTGGCCTCGGCAGCCTTCTGCTCCACGGTGCGGTCGAACTGGTCAATCTTCTTGAGCGCTTCGGCCTTGGTGTCCTTGGCGAGGGCTTCGGCTTGCGACTTGGTTGAAGAGTAGGTCTTGTCTGCTTGGGAGACCTGTTTCGCAGTATCATCATTACTTGTCAGCACTTGTTTGCGTTCGCGTGTGGGAGAGGAGGAGGAGGAGGAGTAGTGGTGGTGGTGGTGGTGAATGAAGGGAAAAGAAAAGAACTTACAGCCTCGTCAATCTTGCCACCGATCTCCTTGCCGTAGTGGGCGCCCTCCTGGCGGGCGTTGGTTTGCGAAGAGTTGGGCAACTCAGACTTGATCTTGGCAGCGCCGCGGTGGAGGTCGGCTGTTTTCCAGGTCAGTATCGTTGCGCCAATATGTTGGGGATAACAATTAGAGAGACGGAAGGTGTAATGGGGTGATGGGATACGCACCCTCAAACTTCTTCTCAGCGGCCGAAGGGCTGCCTCCGGACTTATAGATGTAGTAGCCGCCGAGACCGACAACGCCGGCGCCGAGAATGGGGAGAATGCGAGACTGAGACATTTTGGATGTTGTTGTTGATGTGGTATTAAGGTTTATAATGTGTTTTGTGATTATTGCGTGGTTTGCGATTATCGCGAGAGTGGTTGTTTTGAGTGTTGATTTGTTTGTGTTGTTGTGGTGGTGGTGTTGATGTGTAAGTGGTCAGGATAAGGTAGACAGACGATGGACGATATTATATACTTTTAAAACGCAGTGCTCCAGAATGCATATGTCATCCCTTCACCTCGCTTTCCACTCCCGTCCCCAAGTTCTCCAATTTCCATAACTAATTCCCAGTTGGACGTGCTTGTTGCTTGCTTCCGAGTCAACGGCTGCTGTGTCAAGGCCCGCGGTGCCTTCTGTCCTGGCATTCAATCATGAATTCATGACGTAGGTCGCTCTGGGCCTGAGCGGGGCCGTTGATACAGTGGAGAACGTGTGGAGGCCAAGACTAGATCTGGGACCCACATGTTTGCTTAAGGTAAGGGCCAGGGCTATTTCTGGCTGGCAGTCGTCAACAGTGATTGATCAAAGAAATGAGAACTCATGCGTTACCTAGCGTAGCCATTGGGACGTTGAAGATATCAGACATTCCTCGATAGTGTGTAGGTAGTTCTTCAAAATCTACTGTTTGTTTTTGAGAATCAATCAAAGTGGCTTTGCGAGCCTCAGCATTGTTCTTCCAAAATGTTAATGTACGATACTCAGCCCTGGAGCTCAACTAGCTAGCTGGAGCTACTGTGGACACCTGCCTACACGAATTACATCATTAGGTTAGGTTGCGCACATGAGTCCAGAACTTACAGGGCCTTCCAGTTGCGCTTGCTAGTGTACACTAGAAGTAGGAACTCTTGGTACTTTACCAGCCTCCAGAGTCCAACCCAGCACCTTGGAACATGTACTGCGTATCGTGGCACTTGGGTTCTCAGTTCTGCCAGTCGACCATCTAAGTCGACCTCGCTGCGTCACACTCCCGTCTGCAAGCCAAACGCCTTGCCTGAGCTGCCTGCCTGCCTGCTTGCTTGCTGCCGTTCACCCTCGAACCCCTGGATCCCAAGTTCCCTAGAGATCTACCTACCTGCTCCAATCCAGAAGTCCGTGTCTATGAGCAGTACGTAGGTAAAGAAGGAATAAGAAGAAACACGCGACCTTTGACCCCAGAGCGCGCGTCTCCACGGCGTTGGCTCCGACCCTTACGCCTTTAGCCAGGTCCAGCCAACGGGTCCATCAAGCAAGTACACTACCTACTTTGATGTCTTTGTCCTTGTCTACGTTGTTACATACACCATCTCGGCTATTGTGACCGAGTAGCCATGCCCAAAATCCGTCGTCATCACCGTTCATCTCGTCGCGTGCCTCCGCCAAAGGACAGCGACTTCGACCATGAAATCACCTTGATAGACAAGGAAGACGCTTCGCCAACTAGTTCCAGAGAATCTCTTGCGCACGTCAACACAAATGGAAACACCCACAAGGCTTCGGAGCCTTCCGGTTCCCGCCCACAGAAACGTCTCTCCGTTTCCACCGAGCCCAGACCCGGAGTAGAGAACGGAGATGCTACTCCACATCGCATCGAAACAAGTCAGGGTACTGCCATCGCAGAGAATGACGCGACGGCTACGATATCGTTGGATGGTCCATCCGTCTACGTGCAACGTGAGTTTAATCCTAGCCAACTTCACCAACTTTGTAAACTCGTATAGTCGAGCTACCATCGGGCTCCATGCAAGTACTAACATCATCAAACCAGAACCCACCCCCGAGCCCACCGAAGTTGAACGCAAACTATCCTTCCCATCTCTCAAGTCCAAACCAACCAAGGCTTCGAATGCCTCCAAAGTCCCCCGCGAAGCCAATGGCAGCACCCGCCGAAAATCCCTAACCACCCCCGAATCCGCTATCGACATCCTCTATGAAAATCAACGCGGCTGTTTCCTCTGCGGCAGCCCCCTCTTCTCTGGCAAAGCCCTCGGCCCTCTCGACCCGCCAGCATGGACCAACTTCGCACACAGTGCCTCCCCAACGGACATCACCAACGCGCAGGTTCCCGATCCATCATGGGAGTGGGCCTGGCCCGAGTGGCGCGTCAACCATGAGAAGGACTATGCCGATGAAGAAGGGTGGGAGTACAGCTTTGCGTTCAGCAAGAGATTGTCATGGCATCGCCCAAAGTGCTGGAACTCGTTCGTAAGAAGGAGGGCATGGATACGGAAACGTGTGAAAAAAGCAGCTGGGTATGAGGCTCTGCATGAGGGACAGGATGCGTCCAAGCTAAACCCAGAGTACTTTACCGTCCGGGCTTCCGCCGAGATGAACAGGGAGAGGAGCCGGAGCCGGAGCCGGAGCATGAGCAGGACGCGCACCAAGAGCCGCAGTCCCAGCCGGGCTAGCTCAGTGATGAACTCGCGCCGGAGTCGGGCGAGCCTGCGGAGTATTTCGGAGGCGCTGGAGGAAGAAAATGAGATAATGGAGGATATTGAGAATGTCGAGCAGTTGCTTGCGGTGCTGAGGGAGTGCAGGATTGACAGGGAGAAGATCGAGGCGGTGAATAATTATCTTGAGCATGCCGATGATAACCTCGAAGGACTGGCGGGCGCTATGCACGATATCATGTCCATGTTCATCTTCCAGGCTTCGAGACGGGCGATGTTGGCGAGGCTTACGGAGGTCTATGACAAGACTGTCGAAGAGCGGGAGAGGAAAGAGAAGGAGGAGAAAGAGGAAAAGGGTAAGGGCAAGTCTACCGACGACAAAGCCCCTCCTCCAACAGACGGAGCAATGTCCTCACCAGCATCACCACCACCACTTAGCCCCGAAGAGCTCCAAGAGAAACAATCTCGCCGAGAAGAGAACCTCCACCAGGCTGTCAAGAGAGCTGACGAGGAAGTCAGACGCCTGGAGTACTGGAGCGATGTCAAGGAAATGGTCATAGAGGGAGAAACCAAGGACGCCGTGAGTACCAAGAAGGGCTGGGATCCTAGCTGGCAGGGTGTAGATAATTCGGGGCCGGCACAGCCGCCGGCACCGAGTCATGATGATCCTCAGACAAAGTAGGTTGGGGAATCTGGTTACTGCTGGCTTATGAGGCTTCACGGGAACGGACAAAGTGAACAGCACCCTCGGCCATGTTAATAAGAGGGGTAACAAAGTTTGGACTGCACATAATATGGATAGGACATGGACAGGGACAGAAAGAGGGACAGGATTTCTTTTATTCTTCATTTCTTGGGGGTTTGCGCGGTTGGGTGTTTGGAAAAACAAGAGGCATGCATGCGGTTGTTGTTGATAAGCATTATCTTTATATACTGTTCGGGTTGAGTTGTTGGATAGTTTAGCTTGCTGGTTGCGATAGGTGTTTCAATTCTTCTTCTCCTATGGGTTTCTCTGGTATTGGTTCATCATCATCATTATCCTCATTATCCTCATCCGCATTCAGGATTCGCATGGTTAAGAGAGCTTGAAGAACCGTCTTGCCTAGAAATTAGCAGTTTTGGTGTATATTTCATTCTTTACATAGCTTAAAGTGAATGCTTACAACATCTATTTGTTGGGTGAGTTGATCAGTTAATTGGTTGGTGGTGCGAAAGTGTTCTGGAGGTAGAAACTTACACAACGAGGGCTAATCTTAGGCACAAGAATAATTTGGAGGGAAAAGAATAGTAGACAAGAGAGTATAGGCATAATGTAAGATCGGTGGGTGGATAGTAGTTCACCAACTGAATAATCATTGTGATCACTCAAGTTAGTGATCAAGGTGGAGGACGGGAGCTCTACCAACAAGGAGAAACTCCCAAAAAAACACCAAAGCGGTCACGGTCACGATCACTACTCCAGCGCTCCTTTCGTCCAATAGTACACTAATCACAATGACTCGCCTTCAGATAGTTTTTACACCTCACGAGGGATCACGAATACCAAGGGCAGCCACATAACTTAAACTGAAACTGAACTATTAGACAAACAAACAAACAAACCACCAATAACCAAACCCCAACTATCCAAATGTAGACAAAATGAAAAAGGAAAGAGTTGCCCAACTCTCAATAAGCCCCCATCCGTGTTCGGCAGCAATGGAACTACTAACATGGACGCCCACATAGGACAAGTAAGCACCTTCCTGGGGCTTCTCTTATCCCATCTTGAGGACAAATTTGAACGTACCTAGCTAGCTGTGTACAAAGCGCTTCTTTTTCAACCAGCAGTGTTTCATTAAATAAATAGATAGAGCTACTATAGAAGGGGGAAAAGAAAATCAGGCATATTCGGCGCACTTAATGGTAGTGGCTCGAATTTCGTCCATCCACCTTGAGACTAATTATTTTTGGAGTGCCTCTGATCTCCAATGACAAGTCTTCGAAAAGTATATACCTTTCAACACTCGGCATCATTATAACATATCAATGCATCACATATATCCCTTCAAAGTACATATAGGTAGGATCTCTGCGTGTATTGATATTTTTTGAAATGGACACGCAGTGTAAGGGCATCAAACTATCTATCTATTAGTTTCAATGCTCATTCCACCAAAGCCCCAACTATCAGGTATAGTTAATTCCTTTAATTCCGCATTATTTTATAAAGTCCTATTCAACAACCAAAAGATAGTAGCCGGCCGCATCTTCATAGGACAGACAGCAAGAGAACAGTCAAACGTAAAATACCTAGACAAAAACGATGAATAAAAAATAAATAAATAAATAAAGGAATGGTCACCGACCTCATAACGGACATCAAGTTCTACACTATCCAATTTTTCCACCGCCATAGGTAACTCCTGTCCATGTCCTTCCCCCTTACCTAGGGAAACAAGCAATTCGAAGAGCCTAAAAAAGCACACAACAATGCCCCGAGAGATGGCTACATACGTACCTCCAAGGAACCAGGCGGGCACTGGACGGAGGCTAGATTAAAGCACTGGGATGTAGTGTAAGTAGGTAGCGGAAATCAATAAGCAGATATCTATCGATGCATGTACGAGTATCCAGTTCCCGCAAAAAAAAGTTTTATAACGCATCAAATTTCCGTCACCTACCCTCTCCTCTCCTCGAACTTTTATCGACCCTGTTATTAACCACGAATTACTGACCTCGCTATTCCTCAGATGAACCAGAACCACTACTAGTTCAGCCGCTGGTGATGACTTCGGTAGGTCCGCGCGCGCGGTCTCAGCAGTCAGCACATGCAGTATCTCCATGTGATGACACTAACACCTTAAGCTGCTTTCAGCAGGTTCTTCTGTTAGTGCTTAGCGCATTGCGTGGACTTAGTGGTGGTGGCTTAGTCCGCGCAAGCTCATTTTACTATTTTCTTGGCGCTATCACTGCTCAGCCACTCCGCTATATACGCGCGTAGAATGGCATTTGGACATCGTGACTTTCGGGAATACGAAGTCCAATGATGGCTTCAAAAGATATACTTTTGGGATTGGTTGAAGGGAAGGGCATCTCCACCAATGCGAAACGTCAGAGTGAAATGTCAATTGGGGCATCCACGAAGTGTGCGAATCAATGTCACTGAATCAGCAATCGAACAATTGAACACTAGGTTTGCTTGTCAAGAGAGTGAAAGTGAATGTCTCATTTTCATTCGATCCCCCCATAAAATACTCCGCCAATGTTTTTCCGAAAAAGAGGTATCTACATCAGAAGAAGAAGAAGGTGAAACAGATAGCTTCCCTGCTGCTCAGCCCACTTATAGCTTAGTACCACCACCATGGATGGTAATTGACGTTAGTGTGTCTGAGATGGGACCATGTACCTGGTAAAAGGGTTTGGCACAAGCCTGAAGAAGTTTTGAAGTTTTGTCATCAAATCGTTCGACAGAAAGAAGACCACATTTTCATTGCGGAAGAAAGTTCCAGCGCCAATCCTTTTTGTCGTTGCGCGCCCCTCAAGGGGGCTTTTGTTTTCCAATCCGTTCCCGCGCGCCAGTCGCCGTTCCGTTCTGTGTCTTTGTGTGTGTGGTATCTTTTCTAAGTGGTTGTCCCGCCTCCCCTTTGTGTGACGCTCTTATGTTCAATTGCCAAAAAGAATTGACCATGAAAAAAAGCATGAACAAAAGGGCTAGGGAAGAAAGAGTCGTAAAAGTCATCATCGCCCTGCGAATCGCTCCGTCCTTTGTCCAAAAGAGACGCTGGAGAAGATCCGCGTGAACCAGTTTTTTTTTTTCCAATGCGCGGTAAACAAGTCCACGCGCCTATGTGAGAAGCGAAAATGAGTAAATGGCCTTGCTGTGAAGGCAGTTGATGGTGTGACCATTTCTTTAGTCGGAGAAAGCCCATTCGACCTTCTTGCGGCCGTCGGTAAGGGCGCCAAAGACGTCAAGGAAGGCCTTCTTGGAAACATCAATGTCGTTAAAGGCACATCCCATGCACTTGTCACGAACAGTGGCGGTAACGGTCTTGCCATTGGCCGTGATGACAACCTTCCTGTTGCAGTAGGGGTTGCCGTTGGACTGGGTACCCATCATCTCGTGGGAAAGGGCCACAATGTTATCGGACATGTCCAAGCCGTTGTCATCAAAGCCGCAGGCACCCAAACCGACATCGTAGTAGGTGAGGTCGCCATTGTGGGAGCTACTTGTGCTGGAAGTAGACTCCGTCGTAGAAGACTCAACGGCCTGTGGAGAGGCAACCGACGCGGTGGTGGGCTGAACAACAGGGGCCGGAGCAGACGAGCTCTCCACGGAAAGAGGGGCAGGAGCGACTGTCTGGACCGGAGGGGCGGCCTGGCTAGAGCTGGTGGTCTCAGAAGCAGGAGCAGGAGCCTCAACCTTGGCAGAAGAGGCGGGAACCACGGGGACGACGGCCGCAGCGCTGGAGTGGGCCTGCGAGACGGAAGTGATGAGGGTTGAAGTGGCCTTTGGAGGAACAATCACCTCGGTGGCGGTCACGTCAATGTACTTGGTGACGGTCTCATAGACGGTTTCAGTCACCCATTCCGTGACAAGAGAACGCTTGTGGTGGTGACCGTGGTCCTTCTTCTGGTGGTTAAGGCCGTGGCGAGGCTGGGCAACAGCAAACGAAGCTAAGAGGCTGATGATGACAGTGGTCGACTTCATGTTGACGGCGGATGAAGTTCGAAAAGGATTGTGATATGTCTCTCGTCAACGAGAAACTGATGATGGTTGATTCTTGGTGGTCTTGGCTACCGTAAAGGAAGGATGTAGGTAGGTGGAGGGATCCTTGGTGTTGTCCGTGCTGTGTAAGCTGTTGGAATGTGACGGATCGTCAATGTTGAGTTTGAAAGAAGGTGATTCTCGTAGCCGGCTCGAGGAAGGAATGTACAGCTGATATTCCAAATGGTTCGATCAGCAAAGAGCAGGGGAGCTTGTGAGAAGTGGGAATATGAGATCGATGAGAGACGAGACGGACATGAACCTTTATAAAAGAAAGGACCCGTCCGATCTTAGGGCTAGGGAATCTGAAATGAAGGGGAGACGCGTGGTCCGGGCGAGCTAGACAATGCCTGGGATGGCTCAAACAGGCTGATGACCCGGCTGGAGGCAAGCCATGCTCAGCCATTTCCCTTGTGTTTTTTTTTCTTACCCCTGCCCCTGCTCGAATGTGTGAATGCCCCCATGCGAGTGGGCCGTTCACACTTGTTGGGCCCCATTCTACCGAAGATGCCTAGCCAGGCCCGACTCGATCGTCCTAACCGAGTTGTCAAACGACCCCAGCACCACGTGTTTGATACCATCCAAAGCTCGATCAGTTGTTAGTGCGGTTCTTGTTCTGGCAACGATGAGGGGCAGATGCTGGCTTGTCAAGTGCCAAACAGCATTGTGACAGTGCGGAGGAAGGAGCAAATCATCGTGAGCACCGCCTTGGACAAAGAAATTGACGGTTGCTTTCGATGTTCCCCTTAAGCCCAACCAGAGACTTTAACCCTTGCTTTCACCCGATGTTTGCAGGTGTCCTGCATTCGTCCCACAGAGCTTCTTTGACGTGCCGTTATTTCGTAGGGCTGCGAAGAGTTACCGCTGAGATTACCGCTGAGGAGGGAGAACCACATCCAAGCTCAGCTCCTTCGACCCGAGCCATGTAGCGACCTAACAAATCTCGCAATGTGGCGGCGTAGAGTAGTATCGTACCAACGAAGTGCAATGACGACGCTGAGATTGAAAACTTTTGACCAGAAGCGACGCGGGAGACCTGGCCCTTGCAGCTGACCTGCAAGGCACTGACGCGGAACAAAAGCCGGACCCCTGTTTTTCTTGGGTCAGGAACGGCCAGGAACCAACTGAGCCGGGATCATTCCAACCAATCATCATCCATGGCGACCCCGAGGCCTGGCTGGGCTCCTGCGCGCCGATGAGCAACTGGCGATCCGCCCCGCTCTTCGAAAATTCTTTATTCTGCCATGCTTCGCGTACCTGGATGTCCTTGTCGCCCACAGGCCCGACAGCTTGTCAGACTGGGGCCGTCCGTCCCGTACGTTGTTTCACAGCGCATCGCTGAATGAGGGGAACCTCGAAAGCATTTGTAATGCCAAATACCGTGGCGCCCTACGAGGAGTCGGCTGAGAACCGACGTGTGGTGGGACAATATGCTTTTTGGTGTTTCACTGCTAGTTGAGAGGAAAAGTGTAAAAACGAAGATATAGGATTCAGGATGAAGAACCTGCTCGTCCGGAATACCACGAACTGAGAGAAGGTCCAGGGCATGGATGTACGCGTCTGCCATCGTCGATGTATTGCATACCGGCAGAGAAATGGTCCATTTGCCAATTGCCACAGTGGGACTTGAGTGAAGAAAAAAAACAGGTCAAAAGCTATTTCGTAGTGTAAAAGTAATGGCCACTCACCAATATGATGGCGCAGACCTGCGGTTCTGAATGGAGACGCGTCCTTATCCCTTCCTTTTGGCCGGCCTCGGACGTCGGGCCTGGTTCCGCAAACTCTCGACGAGTCAAATCGACTGGACGACCAGAATGATGTGATGAAGGTTGAGCAACTTATCCTCTATTCGATTTCCACAGTTGTTCGTCATGCATGCGAATAAGTGATAAGATGTGGGGCACGTTGTTGTCACAGTCGATATGCGGGCTCAACAGGCTCGTGTTACGTAGCGGGGGCGTTTCCAGAGGCCGGCCAAACGCACATTCGCCTTGCAATATGTGCGGTGTCCTTGGATATGCGATGTTGCCTGTCATGGCCAGAATCTGGCGAGAACGTCAATTCCGCGTCCCACTTTGCTTGCCATCGTCGGTTGATTGGAGGCTTCTTGACAAAATGCCTCTTTTGAATCCTTTTGGGCGCGGAGACGACCTGTCGAAGATCCTTTGGCGAAGCTGGCTGAACTTTGAAGTGCTGAAATCCTTTTCATTTCTTATTTGCGGGTAAACGCGTACAGGAACAAGCCTTCTCTAGAGAACACGGGCCGGTCTTGGTCCTCAAGCTCGGTAATCTTGAAAGTCTTTCTGGCAGCCTTGAGAAACTGCATGTCTGCACGGCGTCTCTTCTTGAAACAGAAGTAAACGGTGGCGTTGGGTTCAAGGGCCAATAGATCCTTCAGGGTCTGGAGGAGGAGCGGGAAGGCGGGTTCGAAGTAGACGCAATCAGCGGCTAGAATAGTATCAGGCTTGAGAGCAACAATTTCCTCTGGCAGTGGCTCGCCCCTATTTGCATCACGAGAGGTTGTCAGAATAAGCATGAGCGTGAACCCGAGCCCGGGTGGCCCGATCCTGGTCGGGACCGTGGAAGAACAAGAGTCCGATGTTGTGGGAAAGGCACAGCAGGAGGAGGAGAGCGGGGAAAGCCGTCACACAGGACTGTATGTATCGCTTACCAGTTGAGGATCATGGATTTGACCTTGTCATTGAGGCCATTCAAGGTGGTGTTGTATGCCATGAGCTCTTCCATCTCCAGTTGGTCTGTGATGTACATGGGAGTTTCAAAGCTGCAGCCTTTGGCAACTGCAAGTCCAACAAGGCCACCGCCGGCGCCAATCTCGAGTCTGGGGGAGCGAGATATGTCAGTGCCATGCCATGTGGTTGGTGGTTATCGTGGCTTCATGTGGGATGAAGAGCCGGCATGAAAGGCACCTACATCCGAGCCTTTTGCAGCTTATCGCCATGGTAGCGCAGCATATGCTTGGCGAGAGTCATTCCGGCCGGCCAAAGCTGGCCTCCGCATCCCGTCTTTAAATCTTCGTGTAGCTTCAAAGGCTCGGGCAGGAGACCACCAAAGTCGAGAGCCGTGTCGGTCGGGGCCTTGTACTCCGGTAGAGGAGTGAAATCCTGGTCGAAGGCCAAAGGATCAAACTCCGGTGACGATGATCGTGATCGGGCGCTCATAGTTGGTGGTATGACCTTTTCTTCGGGATGAGGCTAATAGAGTGAACCCAGATAATTCAAGAGTTAAACGGTACAATGTCAAATGTTGTGCTCTGGGATTTTTTCCGATAGAGAGAAATTGGTCAGAAACTGTTATCTGGCATCACCATCGTCGTTGTCCTGTGGTGGTAGTCTAGACGGACCCGACTACATAGTAGACGCTCAGGTCGGGCAAGCGCCCAAAAAAAAAGTCCCCACCAAAAAATCCCCTCCCTTCCGACTTTGCGGGGTTGTGAAGACACCAGGGCACTGCATCGACAACCTTCCGATATTACACTTCGGGAAGGCACGACCATTGAGCAACACGACTCCGTCGTCTGACCTTGACCGCCAATATCATGGTCGCTCTTGCCATACTCGAGTCAAGAGCAGAGGCTCGATTTTTTTTTCTTGGCTGGAATATTGTTGAGCCGAGCGTCACAGAGTGTCCCGCTCGAGTTGCGGCGACTGTCATTTGATCGGCGATATCTTCCACATCAACAAGAGGCCTTTCAACCCAGACGCTCGAATTCAAATCGATCATGACATGTTCGTCTTTACGAAATCCCCTCCCTCCGAAATGTGTCACGATGGAAGCGCCTCCCTGAAGCACGGGTCTCATGGACACTTCATCCGGCGGGCTGGTGTTCACCTTGAAGCCCGACTGGAATGCTTCAACCACATTCAAGAGGTTTCAATGCCAATCTCGCATTGCTCAAGTGGGCTCACGACACCACTACAGAGATCCGGCCATTACATACAGATCCCCTCCAGCTATGTATGTCGCGTCCAAAGCCCAAGGGGCGGCTGGTGAGTCGCGACTTGCCCCCTTCAGCAATTTATGAAGAGCGTGACGCAAGGGAACATGCCTCGTGAAGAAACTTGGGGTCAGCCTCCCTCTTTGAAGATTCGCGTTCTTGCTGTCTCTTATGTCTAGTTTGATGCCCTCAGAACTGTCCGCTCTGGTGTTCATGATGAGTTTCCTCTTCCTTCTAGTCTTTGTGAATATTGTAGTCGTCGCTTCTGTTATCTACAATTCGATATCCCAGGCAGCGTTTTGCTCGCCGTCATCATCATCATGGCATCACTTTTGCGTCTCCTCGCCTCATTGCTTTTCGTTGCAGTATCCAATGCTGCCCCAGGGGTCTATTTTCCCATCAGCTCTCAAATCCCACCTATTGCCAGAATCGGAGAACCGTTCTCGTTTATATTTTCAAAGTCAACATTCACCTCGACAACAAGCATCACCTACTCCCTTGCCAACTCTCCACATTGGCTTTCAATCGACAGCGATGCACGGAAGCTCTATGGAACACCAAAAGAGGCTGATGTCGGATTGGGAGATAGGGTGAATGTTCCGTTTGGATTGGTGGCAACTGACGAGACCGGCTCGACAACACTCGACATCACACTGGTCGTTTCAAGGAAGGCCGGGCCCAAGCTTGATATTCCTTTCAACCAACAGATACCGGGATTTGGCTTCTTCTCCAACCCCTACACCATTCTGTCACCGCCGATGAACCAGTTCTCTTTCGTGCTGGACCCAAAGACCTTCTCAGTACCTTCAGACAAGCCTTTGACATACTATGCAGTCATGTCGGACAACACTCCTCTTCCGGCCTGGATATCGTTTGACGCCGGAAAACTTGCTTTCTCCGGACAGACTCCAGCTTTCGAGGCTCTCGTCGACCCACCCCAGACCTTCGAGTTCCAACTCCTAGCCACTGACACACCTGGGTTCGCCGATGCCTCTCTGAGATTCAACATTGTGGTCGGGAACCACAGAGTTACGGCCGATCAGACAACAGTTGTCATCAATGCAACTGCTGGGAAGTCCTTTTCATATGACGGGCTGCGAGGCAACATCGACGTCGATGGCCAACCCATGCCTTCTGGCGATGGTATCATCGTGGTCTCTACTTTCAATACCCCGTCATGGCTCACCCTGGATATGGACAGTCTACATATCACAGGCACTCCTCCCTTGACAGCAAAGTCAACAAACTTTACCCTCACGCTCGAGGACAGCTTTGCGGACAGATTCAATCTGACTGTCATGGTTCAGGTCAGCGGCACTCAAGCTCAAATCTTCGGCATGTTGAAGGAAGAGCTGCCTGTCATACAGGCACACGCGGGCGAGCACATAAGTTTCGAGCTTGACCCCTTCCTAAAGGACCCTGATGGCACAGAAATAGTTGTCGATGACGATACATCGCCCTCATGGATCCGTGTCCGCGAAGGAACCATCTTCGGCGACGTACCAAAATCGTCAAAGGACTCCATCGTGAGTGCTACGATAAGATTGACTTCAAAAGCTTCAGGAGCATCAGAGTCAGTCTTGCTGAGCGTGCACATGCTAGCGGATACAGGGGACGCGGTAGACACGACAGATACAGATTCGACTCCGGGCTCGACATCAACTGGGGACTTGGGCGGTACTAAGCCTACCCAGAAACATGCACCTACTCCCATCGGACTCATTTTGCTGGTCACTATCCTTCCCGGACTCTTGCTCCTTGGCGCTCTCATGGGCATGCTTGTCTGTTGCCTTAGGCGACGAAGAGAAGCCAAACGACCGAAGCTCAGCACCCGTGATATACCGGGCCCTCTCCCGGGAACTTTCACCATCAACGTCACAGGTCCAGATGGGCAGAGTTCCATGGAGCACATAACAGGACCATACAACACGCAAAGCACGATAAGTCAGATGTCACTTGCTGAACAGGACCGGAAGAGTGACCCTGAATCGGGCATCAGCCGTCACCAAAGCTTCGATGCTGACGTGCCACGCCCGCTCAGCACAGTTCGGATGCTGCCTACCAACGAAGAACTCCTGCCGGCAAGCAGTAGTCTTCTGGATATCACAGGTTCGCCTCTGATGTCCGGTGCTATCACTGGAACTCCGCGAAATCGGCGGCACGAGAGAACCCAGACGCTCCTCAGCCACATTTCGGAGACTAGCTACTATGAGGAGCACTCCTCAGGAATCACCATCGAAAATACTCTGGAATTCCTCGGCAATAGCAACACAAGAGGCTCGTTTCGGGACGGTGTTGAAGTCGACATTCCGTGCCTTGGTGACCTGTCTAGCATCCAACCCACCCCGAACTCTGCATACACGGGCGAATCATACTGGAGCAAGCTAGGTTCCGGCCCGTCCGTTCATAACAGATCTCCTGCGATAGGCTCAGTTCACAATGACCCTACAGGCGCTGCCCGGACTCAGCCAGCCATGCTAGTGAGAAAACTTGTGTGGCCTTGGTTCAAGGGCCGTGTCATCAGTATCAAAGGTGTTGCTGAGAAGTTCGGGGAGGCAGCGAAGACAACACTGGCAGGCTTGCCCAGTCTGTCCAGTGTCCAGGCATCTTTACACGACAAGACGCCAGACATATCACTCTTATCAAACAAGCAGTCTGAAAGTTCGGACATCCCCGACTTCCCATCACCGCCACAAGGGACAAAGCGACCCATAATGACCAAGTATGCAAGACCAGTGACGCGAAGAGCAGTCGGCACAGGGCGTATCGTCATCCCACGACAAAGGCTAGTGTCGACAAAGGTCGAGGTAGTGGGAGGTCCGACTGAAGACCTTTACAAACCAGCAGAGGACAAAAAGCAAGCTTCACCCACGTCTAGCTTCGACCGCCCCAGCAGGAACTCACTTGGCATCTCGTACGCAGACATGGCATCCAACTCACCTTTCCACCAGTCTAGCACATGGTCAACAATACCTTCTAGTCACGAGTGGCACGACGAGACACTACAGAGCCTCGAGAATGCCGACAGCGTGTTGCCAAGCTCAAGTCTCAGAAGATCGCGGTCGGCATCGCAACCTAACTGGGCACCATATAAGGACTCGCTATCTAACATCAACGATGGTGCAAGTTCCAAATATCCGCAGAGTCAATGGTCGTTTGCCCCTATCCCGCGGCCTCAGCCTCTTGGTGATGCATCTTCTATCGCCTCGCAGGGTTTGTCGAACTCTGTGAGCGGGCATGCCCGCGCTCCTACGCTTAGTTCTGTCGGGTTTTCAAAGGCACCTTCGTCGTTCCGGCTTGATGGCAATGAGAACACGCATACTGACGACGCGGAAAAGGAGAACAAATGGGCAGGCGGGACGAGCGGTTTTCTCAATGGTAGGTTTCGCTCACCGCAGCCGATAGCATTGGTGACTTCGCAAAGCAAGACGAGTTCGGAATTTGCTGTTTACATCTGAGTTTAATACCCCATTTTATTTTGTTTTGTTTTGTTTTGTTTTGTTTTGTTTTATCTTATTTTTTGTATAGTGCTCCTGAATAATCGGCTTTTGTGCGGGTACGGACATCAAGGAGTTCAAGATTCCAGGGCGTCACTGGCACTTCTCATTTCGAAACGTACAAGCTACATGTGATAGTCCGGATTTTAGTGTAGTGTAGAGTAGTGTAGTCCCGAAATGTGCCGTCATCACGAACCAGTGGCGGCGAAAATGGGTCTGATATCAGTGGTCCCGTCCAATCTCTCATGCTTCATGCTGTGTTCCTTCCCCTCAGTTTCAGTTCAAAACCCAAACTAAAGAAAAAGAGGCTTTGGCTGAGTAGCACAAGCCTGTACAGAGAGGTCGGTCACGAGAGAGATTGGATCTTGCTTCCCAATGTCTCATCGCGATGTTGCAACCCAACATGCAAAATAGGTCACACGAAAGAGGAAAAAATTTGAGGGCTAAAACAGAAAAGCTTGAATCTAAAATGCCGGGTGGGTGGGTGTCGTCATCGGTCGACTGCACAGTCTGTTTCGGTTTACCTATTCCCGGCTGTCTGGGCTTCAATTTTTCGTCCTAAGTACTGTGATAATCCCGCTCGCAAGCGCTCCTGACGCCAGCCCCCCTTCCGTCTTCTGTGTGGATTTGGGTTCGTTCTAATTGACTTCTTCCCTTTCGCATCATAAGATGAGTGCAACAGTAAACCGGAATGTACGGAAAATAAACAAATAGAATCACATTTTGTCGTACTGTCGCCAAATCTGATTTTCTTTTGTCGTTTTGTCCTAAGGAAGGATTGGACGATGACGAAATTGGGGTTCAATTCCATCCCAAACCGGAAGTGTGGATATTGGATTTGGACGGATGCTAGTGTACCTATTGAGTTTTGGCTCGATGACGCTCCAGTTCTGGGTTTTTGCCAGGGCATTTTCGCTCATCCCTTCTGAGCTTTTCTCGCCTCCCTTTTCTGGGAAGAGCCTTAATAAGGACACCGCTATCCTCAATGACGCTCTTTCACACTGACTCCTGTTTGAAGTTTAGCAAGGGCTCCTGGCGCCCTCCTGGTCTCTTCACGACCTGTGAGTCGAGCGGTGTCTGTGAATAACCTTGGTGATCCGCGGGGTGAATTGCCATCTTGTGGCGGAGTCACAGTGTGCTTTCGGAGCTGTCGATAAGCTCAAGACTTTGGGTCGACATTATAACTTGCGTGTGTGTCCAAGTACCTTCCTCCGTGCAACAAGCGCAAAGTCAGGCACTGTCTTGGGTGCTTGTTCCGTCCTCCAAAGAGGAGAAACATCGCCTTCGCGGTAGCTCGCTCAAGAGGCCCTGGTAAAAGGAGATTTTAATGTAAAATTCACTGGCCTGACGACGACGAAGCGCCGGGCGCCTTGAGCATGATATATACTCATTTTTCGACTGACTCAGAGTCGCACAATTCCTCCAACAGCTACATAGCTACCCGCGCGCGTTGTTTTCTCTCTCAATTCAGGACGGAAGTGCTCCGGACCAAATTGGTTAAGTCATCGCGTGACCGACCATGACAAGAAAAAAAAGAAAAGAGAAAAGGAAAAAAAAAAAAAAACCACGATGCTGCGCACAAATTCGCCTCGTTTTTTTTTTTGGTCCTCAACCCTCGTCCGAGTTGGAAATGCCCTTCTTACTACTTTCAGCTGAAGTCTGCAACATGTCTCCGGGTCCGGTCTCCTAGTGTAGTGTAGTGTACAATCCATACAACGCGGAGGCAATCCACTCATCCCCGGCCCCGGCTCATTTACCCCACATTGGGTTTGTCGGGCGAGCTCGGGGTTGGTGAATTTTTGTGCAGATTCGGGGTTTAGAGGTCCCGCTGTTGGAAGCCAACTAGGGTGGGGAGCTTTCAAAGGGTTCGTGATGATGAAAGGGTATTGGATGTAAGAACAACAAAACGCATATCCAGAGTTGTAGATCGTTTGATCTGGAACTCGGTGCACGGGGAACAAATAATTAATTCTATAACAATTGTGCCGTGGCAACTGCGGGACAAGAACCACTGATAGGTACCTCTCGCTAGCAGCTTGGGGCATCGTACGTCCACCCGCAGTGAGTGAGCCGAGGCGCGGTGCCTAGTGTACTTGTGTACGTACAGTACAGGTAAGAGCTCGGGCAGCTGGGCTTAGGTTTTGCGGGACGAGACGGCCGGAGAACACCGCTTCACGGCCAGCGGCGGCAGTTTCTTCTCTTGTGCCCGGGCAGGAGCGGCCTCGACAGTGACGGAGGTAGGTAGAGGTAGTTTATCTGTAGGGCTCAGGTGGGGTGGTGACGACTTTGGTTCCGTCTTTAGCTGCTCAGGGCACCGGCCGGCCTCACCGTGGCTCGGGCGCAAGGCTGACCAGAGGGTCCTGTCAGCAGACGGGCGGGTATCTCGAAACAGATGAAATCAGATTGAATTGTGAAGCCAAACCGTGATCCGCGCGAGCTACCTACACCTACCTCTAAAGCCTAGTATCGTACCTTTTATCTCTGATCAAAGCTCTTGCGCTTCTACATCTGATTATCTCGCTGGAATTGGCGACACATTCTCAAAATCCCATACCGGGAAACTCATCATCGCCGTACCGAGCACCTTGGCCTGATTCGACGGTCACGTCCAAGGGTATTTTTGGTTACTTTGTGGAGTGACCTAGACTCTGTTGACTCCTGGCACCAAGCCGGGCCAAGGAAAAATCGGATCCAACCAAAAGAGCCAAGAGTCACCACCACAGGCTGCCGCTCAAAAGGGCAGGACATCATCAGAAGGGACAGTCGCCGCCAACTTGAGCTACCTACCTACATAGGTACGTAAGGTAGGCAAGTAGTGTGGTCCCGTCATCCAGCAAGCAGACTCATCCAGACCTGCCCATGAACCCTAGAGGTACCTGTACGCACCTACGCGGATAGTCCACCCTAGATCATACTACCTCTACCTTGGACAGAAAGAGCTATCTGAGCTAGCGCGGAGTAACAGCTCCCAACCCGGCAGCTACTACTCAGCAGTTAGTCTCCGTTATCGATTGCTCGTAGCACTCCAATCCACAATCCACCAGCCCACCTACACCTGTCAACCCGGACGGGCACACTGCCTCTGCCTGGGTGCACATCCATCCTCCCTCCGGCCAAAGAACCCAACCTTGCCAACAATCTGCTGCAATCCACTCCCGAACAGCAAACCACCACTTGCACCTCCACCGTCCCCTTTCTCGACTCGAAAGCACGATCAAAGTTCCCTCTGTCTGTCACGAGCCTCGTCGCCGACTATTCCAGTACCACACCCACTCCCACACCACCACCAACAACAACCCACACAGACATCATCATGGGCCAGACGCTTTCTGAGCCCGTCGTCGAAAAGGTGCGTGGCAATCATCCTGACCACTCGCTCATTGTGTAAATGCCGTCCTCGCGCCCGGCCTACCTACTCTTGGCGAGGACGGCCTCCATCACCTCCCTCCCTGCTGCAAGCAAAAGCATAAACACACGTCGAACCACTTTTCACCACATCGCAATCGCGCTACCGAGCTGTCTCCCTGTTTGTCCTGCTCATGGCCGCCTTCGGATCGCCCAACCGTCGGGTCCCCGCCAAAAGACGCCGTGGGCTTTTGTCCTGCTCTCTTCTCCCTCATCACACATCCATGCTGGCTCCTCGCGCGCCGCTGGCCCCCCATCGGCTGCCCCGAAATCCTACCCACGCCACACCCCGCCTTTGCCCCGCGCATTGAGCTGACCAAGCCGGAATCAACCATGTGAAGCACAAACGGACTTGCCTACAGAACCAGTGCGCTAACTCAAATAATTGTGTTTCTCTGAATATAGGCGTCGGCAACTGGCGGGGATGAGCGGCTCATCTACGGCGTGTCGGCCATGCAGGGCTGGCGTATCAGCATGGAGGATGCGCACACGACAGTCCTCGACCTACTAGCCAACAACCCCAAGGAGGCCAAGGACCACAGCCAAAAGCTCTCCTTCTTCGGCGTTTTTGACGGCCACGGCGGCGACAAGGTGGCATTATTCGCGGGCGCCAACATCCACGACATCATTGCGAAGCAGGACACATTTAAGACCGGCAACTACGAGCAGGCTCTCAAGGACGGCTTTTTGGCAACTGACCGGGCAATTCTAAACGGTACGATATTGAAAACCCCAGATTGTGTTTTCTTGGCAGCTTGTGTGCTGTGCGGTGCGGTGCGGTGCGATGCTGTGCCGCATACGGTGCGAAACGGGAACGAAGGAAACTAATATTCGCCCCCCTTATGTTGCAGATCCCAAATACGAGGAGGAGGTTTCTGGGTGCACCGCATGCGTCGGTCTTATTACCGATGATAAAATCTTTGTGGTGAGTTATAATCGAACGAAAAAAAACAACCCCCGCTCGTGAACTGCTCGCCCTAACCTCAAGTGTCTATAGGCCAACGCTGGCGATTCGAGATCCGTACTGGGCGTAAAGGGCCGCGCGAAACCTTTGTCTTTCGACCACAAGCCCCAGAATGAAGGTATGCAGTTATGCGCTTGCTGGCTCTTCGGATGACAAGGTTCCGAGCTAACCGGTGCATGTTTGTGGTTCTCTAGGCGAGAAGGCTCGTATCACTGCTGCTGGCGGTTTCGTCGACTTTGGTCGCGTGAACGGAAACTTGGCTCTCTCGAGAGCTATTGGCGATTTTGAGTTCAAGAAGAGCGCCGAGCTGGCACCCGAGCAGCAGATCGTCACCGCATACCCCGATGTTATGGTCCACGACTTGGCCGACGATGACGAGTTCCTCGTACTTGCTTGCGACGGTAAGAGAAGGCTTGAACCTGTATAGAACCGCGCGGTCAGCTAACATACGTTTTCTGCTAGGTATCTGGGATTGCCAGTCTTCCCAAGCGGTTGTCGAGTTCGTCAGGCGAGGCATTGCCGCCAAGCAGGATTTGGACAAGATCTGTGAAAACATGATGGACAACTGCCTGGCCTCCAACTCGGAGACGGGCGGCGTTGGTTGCGACAACATGACCATGATCATTGTTGGTTTCCTCAGGGGACGGACTAAGGAGGAGTGGTATGAGGAAATTGCCAAGCGCGTCGCCAACGGTGACGGCCCTTGCGCTCCTCCCGAATATGGTAGGGAAACAACATCCCCCTGACCGCCTTTCATCACTACACAAACTTCACCATATCATACCTTCCCCGTATTTCCCCATATATCCCTCTTTAACCACACGTGTACTTCATATAACCCAGCTCGTTCTCGTTAGCACATACGCTCTACTTCTTGGCTACTTTATGAGCTTGACACTAATTCCATGTCTGTTTTTTTCCGCACATTATAGCTGAGTTCCGCGGTCCTGGTGTGCATCACAACTTTGATGATAGTGACAGCGGGTATGATCTCGAGGACAACGGAAACAAGGGCAAGCCCTTTGGCATGGGCGGCTACAAGGGCCGCATCATCTTCCTCGGCGACGGAACCGAGGTGCTGACCGACGCCGACGACACTGAAATGTTTGATAACGTGGAGGAGGACAAGGATCTCGCCAGCCAAGTCTCCAAATCACCCTCAAGCATAACAACGAATGACCAGGACCAGAAGGAGCAGGCCGCCGTTGCTGCGGCGGCGGCGGATAACAGCACACAAAACGCCAAGAAGGAGGAGACAAGCTCGCCGGCTAAGGCTTAGTTGGGATCAACAGCGAGCAGCAGCGGCAGTGAAGGGGTGATCAATCATCGGCAGGAGCCGTCTGGTCGGGGATGTATTCCCAGTTGATTGATGGCATCTTTGGTGAAGTTTGATATAGCAGGCGCACTTCCACTGCGCTGCACGGGAGCGGATCGGAATCGGGACTTTGGGATGAACAAACGTGTTATGATGAAGTTGGTGTTGTTGCTGTTGTTGAAGTTTTGTTGTCAAGAGATTCTCATGAATGAAAGTTAGTAGTATATTGTTTATGGAAGTATGGGATTTTTTTTTTCTTGCACGAAGGGCGGTGGTGAATAGGGTCAGTCAAGAGGGGAGAGGGGGGGTATAAGAGGGGAAAGAAAGATGTATTCGTTGGTTGGTTGGTTGGTTGGTTGGTTGTTGTTGCTTCACTAAGGGAACGATGGAGATACCAAAGTCAAGCAAGTCAAGTTAAGCAAAGATGAAGATGATGGTTTTTTTTCTATATCGCGATTACGTACCTAAACCCCCTGTAGGCTTTGTACCCTATGTCTTGTCTGTATCATCTGTATCGTCTTACCTGGTCGTCACTGTCTGGTATGCGCGCGAAGCAAGCATGTCATGTCATGGACATCTGTCAGGTACTGTACGCTTGTATGGGTGATGAACGTTGTTGCTGTTGTCGACATCCAAGTCCGTTCTATTCGGAGATTCAAAGAATTAGAAGACTGATATAGTTACTACAGACTAGTAGTACTGTTTGATGTATGTAGGTTATCTTAAATACTGATCATAATCGTGTAAGAAGATATATCAGAGGATAAAGTAGGGTCAACCGCAAAACTGTGACTAAGGAAGTGAAGAGAAAGCTATTGATATCAATTGTCTAAATTACTATTTTTCTCTTTCCTTTCTCCTCGCATCCAGGAGCAGCAGACTTTAATTGATTTACTTCACTTGGACTTTGTTTTCCCCTTTCTCCCCTTTTTATTTCAATTTTTGGTTGTGTTCCTTTCTTTGCTATTTTTTTTTCTTCTTTATCATCAGAACAAGACAGAACAAGACAGAACAGAGATAGAGCAAGCGAGACCTTTCCCCTTCCCTCCTTCCTTCCTTCCCTCCTTCCTTCCTTCCCTCCTTTTTTTCCCCCTTCCGTCAGCCCGTCCCGTTTATTCGTCCGTCCGTCCGTCCATCCATCCGTCACCCGTGCTGGGTTGGCTAGCCGTGCCGTTATCGTGCCGTCGTCATGCCGTGCCGAACCAAATAAATACCCAAAATACCTAACCCAACCCAACCAACCTCGCTCGCTTTAAGCGCTACCAGCCGACTGACTGACTAACTGACGACTCGACCTAATACAACCTACCTGATACAACCACACCACCATTGTCATCACCCATTGAGTAGTAGACTAGTATATAGAGAAGGTGTAAGTATCCTCGCGTTTCGTCACTCGATACTAGAGCATTTAGGCAGTCATTATTGATCTTGATCTTGATGCCTGATGTAGTCGGTATGGATTTGTGCCATGCTATACCAAAAAAAAAAAAAAAAATTATGTTCAAATTCAGAGTGAATGTTGCAAAGTGTGGATAGACCCATCTTCTTTATTCTTCGGCGAGATTGCTATACTACATTACCTAGGTGTATACGTCGTCTTTGTGACTTTCACACACACATACTTCCTTGTTTAGTGTATGGGCGCAACCTCGTCTTATCCTAGGTAGGTGTGCAGTGTACAGTTGTACGTTATTCAATCTTTCCCTCCCTCCTCTAATCTACCTCCGGCTACCTTACCTACCTACCTGGACTTAGTAGTCAGTTAGTCAGTGTAGGTTGTGGTTGATGGGAGTGAGTGGCTGGCGCGCGGTGGAATAAAGGATGATTAATATAAGTGTACTTTGAAATAAAAGAACTGACTGAACTGTTGAGGACACTTTCGCGATTTCTTCAAGGTCATATGGAGGGTGGGTTTCATGCCGCAGTTACAGGAGCGGGAGCAGGACCTGGACTTGTATAAAGTGAACAGTGCCCGGCCGGGCCGGACTCCCAAAGCATACCCGTTTATTTTTCATTACCGCTATGTGAAGCCATCAACTTGTTGTTTACTGTTGATGTAGTAGTTTATTTTTGTTGTCCTCCTGTGTCCCTGAACCTCACTGCTCCTTCTCTCTCTATCTCTCTGTCTTGTCATTACCACCACGGTTCACTTACCTTGTGTCCTATTTTTTTTACCACCTAGAACTAGTTATCCACCAGCTCGACATGGATATCTCTTCCCCTTCTTGCAAATCAACGATTCAAAGTCAACAACCCCTCGATATACCTCTTGGTATCGACACCAATTCCCTGCGCCAACTTGGTAGCTCCATCCGCCCATCCTCCCACTCCTCCACCACCTGCTGCTGCTGCTGCTGCTGCTTGACCCGGTCCGGCAGCAGCACTGCTTTCGCCTTTTTCGTTACCAGCGGTACCACCACCACCACCGCCGCCGCCGCCCACAGCAGCAGACGCCGCATTCACAATACTCCCAACACTGCTCACACCCCTCGTATGCCCATGGTGTCTCTCAGCTATAGGAAGTCCAGTCCCGCTCTCCCCCGCCGTCGCTTTGCGAATAAGGAAGATCTCCTTGGAAACCTCCACCATGTCATTTCCCCTTCTTCTCCTTGCCGCCGACGAGGAGGAGGAGGAAGAATCACTACCGACACCGCTAGCGGCAGCAGAGCGAGGGATAGCTGTTTCACTTGAAGTGTGCTCCTCTTCGTAATCTTCCTCTTCCTCTTCTTCTTGCTCGTTATCGGCGTCGTCTCCTGGTAATTGTGATTGGTCTGCAGGAATGCTGGAGAGGGAGTCGTCGGATGCGGATGCGGATGCAGCAGTGCCAGAGGGGTCAGTCGAGTTAGAAGGATCAGTGGAAGAAGTAGCTTCTGCATTAGGCGAAGAAGAAGAAGAAGACGAAGAAGAACCAGACGTCCGCCGCTTCCGAAGAGTTTTGTCACTTGCCGCCCTTGCACGTCGGGGTTTATTGACGTTGGCAAAGAGATCTTGATTGGTGCCGGCGAAGGAGGCGACTACAGGCGAAGTCGATGCTGCGGGAGAAGCTGTTCTGGTGGAAGACACAGAAAGCAGATGTTGATATGGTTGAGACTCCGCGACAGCGGTCCGTTCGAGGATACGATTCCAAACAATCCACCACCCTCTACTTGTCTTGCAAGTGCGCTCATACCCGGTGAGATTATCATCGCGGGTGTTGATGAACATATTGAGAATCTGGTTATGGGTGTTAAGCGCTTCGATACGGCTCCAGGGTGCCCTGGCCGCCTTGGCCGGTGCTGTCTCTGAACCACCCACCACACCCGCAGCCACAGGAACGGGAGGCTCAGGGATATTAGGAATCGTCGAGTGCACACTCAACTCCTTAGGATCCCATACCAAATCGTAAATCTGACCGCTCCCTCCAGCTACCGAGTCTGAAGGACGCTCAGGCCTGTAAGCCGTAGCCCGCAACAGCGACTTTCGGAGGGGAGCCATCTGCTGGTGCAAACTCCTGTAGAAGCCTTCCCAGGCGAGGGAGTCGGTGCGCAGCTGGAAGAGAAACACAAAGATGAAGGGGCGCATGACGTAGACGACCACGCGCAGCTTCTTGGTCTTGTTGCGGTCTTGGGAGTCGAATGTAGTGGCAGCGGAGGTGATACCCGTAGTACCGGCCTGTCCTGTGCGACCCATCGACGATGTATGTCCTGGGCCTGAGCCAGGATGGTTCACAGAACGAGAGGCTGCCGAGCCAGATTTCGTGGTCGGGTTGGAGCTGTTGGCTGTGGTGACAGCGGTGACGCGGCGGAGGCCATCCTCATCAGTGACGGTTACTGTGCCGGTGCTGGCACCCTGGGGTTCACTTTCAGCAAGCTCGGTATCGTGGCTGCCGAAATCTTTTTGGACCTGCGAAGGGCGACGGTTTTCGCCTTCACTTTCGATTTCGACTGTTAAGGTGCGCAACAACAGACGCGAATTGGAGTCTTCAGCCTCGAACGGATCGATGGGCTCGCCGTCGGGGCTAGTTGCTGGCGTGCCCTCCAAGTCGCCCATGAGACCGATCAAGAACTGGCAGTCCTTAGGCGGCTTCTTGGGCTTCTGATTCTCGACCTTGTCCTGCTGCTTCTCAATGCTTTGAGAGCTACCGCCCATTCCCAAACTCCAATGGGTTCCGTAGCCCATCTTCAGGTAACTAAACAGATTGCCGACGCCTCCTTGCTCATCCGTCGTCGAGCTGGCCGGTGTCCCCGTACCTGTACCCGCGGGACTCGCAGGACTTCTACTCTTAGCCGGAGGATGCAGAGAAGTAACCGGCCTTGGCGGTCCGGATGGTCTGCCGTCTGAGTCCGAAGTTGTCTTGCTCTGCTCCGTCTCCGACTGCGGTGTCGTTGTCGGCTTCGGCTTCGGCGGCGGCAATCGCAAGTCCGATACCTTCAGCCCGGGCGACATCACCTCTCCAAGCGGGGCAATCTTGGCCCTACTACCCGTCTGTCGATGCTGCCTCCTGGGCGTCACTCTCGTGGCCGCTGGACTCTCAATGACCCCATACGCGTTCTCTCCCCACGTATACATATCCTCCATCCACCACACCACCGATCGCAACGACTGCCTTGACAGCGCGCCGGTGCCCAAGAAAATCGCACCGTCGTCCGCGCCCGGTTCCGCTCCGGTACCAAGCCAATCCGTCGGCTCCTTCCCTTCCTCTCCAGGCTCTCCAAACCTGCCCACTACCAGATCCACAAGTCCCTCCACTCTGTCCACCATCCCCTCCAACACCTCCCTCTCCCCTGAACCCCTATCCTCTTCTCCCACACCCACGCCAAGTTCCCCGCTAGCAGTGATCTTAATCCCGCCATAGATGTTACACGCCGGGTTACCGTGCAGCAGCACGTTCCACGTAGAGAGGAACAGATCCCAATAGCGGCTGAGCAAGCTCACAAACTTGGGTCGCTGGGCACGCACGAACAAAGATGAGAGGGAGCTGTCGTGGTGAAGGAGGAAGCAAGCATGGGCACGTAGGAGGTCCCGCAACAAGAGGGCGGCGGGCTTGAGTTCGCGGGAGGAGTATTCGGCTTTTTGGTCTTCTTCAGCTACTCCTTTACGTGGGCTGCTGGGGATGGGAGACCGAGGAGGGGAGGCGGAGGTTTTGCTGTTGTTGCTGGTGCCGCCTTGGTTGAGAAGGGGAAGGCGGGTGAGGTCTATGGACTAATTTTGGGTGTTAGTTGGTTTATGCAACCTCTGATAGTGGTGGTGGTGGTGGTGGTGGGGTGAAAACCTACGGCCAAAATCCACCACCCGGGTTCCAACTCATGAAGCACCACTCTGCTCTTTTCCGTATCAATCGTATTAACCGCCTTACCACCCGAGAAACTCTTGCCGAACTCGACCATGCCCTGGGCCAGTCCTATCTGCCTGAGGCGCTCATTCTTCTCCTCTTTCGAGACAGCTTCCGTGCCGGGGGCAGCTGCTGCTCCAGATGATCCCGACACAGAATTGGTTGGCGCATGATGACGACGGCGTGATGATCTGTCCGACCGATGTCTTCGGCGCTGCTGGTCCTTCAAAGTCGTGACCGAGGCGTAGTAGACAATTTGGTCTTCGAGCGTGTCGTCGGTCGTGCCAAGACTGGGGTTGTAGATGGCCAGGAAGCCCAGCTGAGCGGGGACGATGTTGTTGTTGCTGTTGTTGGGTTTTCCTCCAGCGCCTGCGCCAAATGACCCCGTGGGTACGGCTGACGCCATGATGCCGACAACCTAGGTACTGCTAGCTATGTACCGGGCTCGGAACGGACTAAAGTGGGGTATCGATCGGTATGCCCTGTGTGGGACCGGAATACCCGTCTGTCAGCCGAAGTGCGGGCGTGTGGCGGCAAGCGGCGGAGGCGGGGGTACGGGGTACGAATACGGTAGGTAGTCGGTACCGGGTACCGATGACTCGGTTGATGGTAAGTATGGGTCCCGTACCGTAACGGAGCGGAGCGGAGCGGAGAGGACCCTTGGGGCAGATGTGGTGGTGGGTTTTGACCGGGAAGCGGTGAGTTTGACAAAGCTCAGCTGTCGAGAGGGGTCAAGAGTCAGACTCGTAAGGAGAGAGCGTACTTGTATGTAATGATGTCGCAACAATGCAAGCCCTTGGAATACCCCACGCTCTTCTTGCAGAGAAAGTGTGAATGTTTCAGTCGTCACTGCCCAACCCACGTGCCAACCCAGATCATGACGAAGAAAAAGACACCATCAAAGTGTTGCTTTGTCTTGCCTTTGATATTTTGTGAACAAGATCAGACGGTTTCTTCCACTTGTCTCACAATCGATAGCGATCGAGATGACCTGGCTCGGACACTTTTGGTGGTGGATAGTGAGATCCCAGATCCCGACCTCGTTAGCGACGGAGCCTGCGGAGCTGGGCAATGGAGTCGAGTCTGGCTGTTGTGGAGGGAAAAGTGCGGAAAGGACAGCCGGAATACCGGGACCAGTCCGATGGAGGAGGCACTGTCGTCATCGCTCCTCTCTCTGACTGGGGACAAGGGCTGCTTCTTCAGTGGCACCTCAATGCTGTGCGATAGTGGGGTAATACAATGGGGTACACTACTTCACAGGCGTCGCCAGTGTTGCCGTGGTCACCACCACCCCCTTTTGTTCTCCGTCTTGATGTTTCACCACAAGCATATTCGAAACGTTTACCCGAGAAGCTGTTCATGCTTGTGTTTCCGTTACGAGGTGCTGAGAATACTGTTACAGCAACTTAATTTGTAAATCAAAAGCTATTAAAACTACGTAATTCAGTAGAGTAGTCATTCCATCGTATTGCCCTGCCATGCCATGCCATGTCAAGCGTCGTTTTCATCGTTACCCTTTTGTCAGGCTTGTCCTCATCTATTCTCGTAGATGCTTCCCGTCTGTAGCAATCTGAAAGGCGCAAAAACCCCATATCAGTAGCCATTACACAGACTGTTTGATTGTTTGTGTTGAACCATTTCCGTTCGTCACAAAAGACATCGTTTGTGGAAACCCGCATTACTCTCAGTAGTAAGAGTAGAATAGAGTAGTTGGGAAATACTCCGCGCAAAGTCAGTAAGTATAGCAGCAAAAGAGCAACGTAGCCGTAAACGTAACCATACCCCTATCCACCCGGAGCGTTATCCAGAATTGTAGTCTCTCTCACCGACCTTCTGAAAACCCAGGACAAATGATCCAATCCCCACGACTATTTCCTTGGAGCCATAGATACTCGAACAAGGAAAACAAACCCCACAAAAAAGCAAAAGACGTGTTATTGCGAAATTCCCACAGTTATCCCCAAAGAGCACACGATTACGCCGTCGTGAACTCTCTCCAATGCATTGCTGGCCAGCTTTCATGGGCGGATATTTTGAGTCAATCCATGCCTCCCACCCATGTCTTAACCCAAACCCCATTGAGGGAGAAACATTCTACCGTTTCCCGTGTTGATGTATAAGCTAGCCAGCCAGATTATACCCATTGTGATGTGATGTCGTGCGTGGAAGCAGTGATACAGCATGGATGCTGCTAGAAAAGTAAAAGAGAAAAATCCAAGAAAAGGCAGATGAATGAAAACGAACCATGTACACGCAAACAAAGGTAAGAAAAGAGAAAAGGGAAAAACACCAAGAAAAGAAGATGCGAGCGCGAACCAACACCATGGTATCTCGAAAATCAGGAGCCTCTCACGCTCCCGTAGGCTCGCGCACAATGAGGCTGTCGCCAAAAACAAAAAGAGCAAAAACGTAGCAGATTAGCATGAATAACATGACAGCCACCTCGACGACTGTCATTAGCGTCCTAGGTCTTCAAGGACTAGCGGAATGGGATTGACGTCGTCTAAACATCAATCTCCATCCTCGACGCAATATCCTCACTGACTCCCCGGTACGGAACATTCTCAGAGCGCCAGCCCCCCTTGGCGGCCGAAGCTTGACTCCGACCACCATTAGTGTTCTTGTTGTCATGGTCATCTTCTTCCGCGTCTTCGAGGTCTTCGTCCTCTTCGTAATCCCCCAGGCTCTCAATATCATAGTCGTCGTAATCGTCATCGTGATAGTTGCAGTTGACGTCACCGTCAGCATCGCGATTCCATATTAGACCGTCATCGGCCTCCATGTCGTCGTCATCCGCCATGACGCGCTCGGCAAACTGGTCTCCGAGCCAGTACCTTGCGCGCTTGTTGGCTCCGGCGTCGTCGAGCTCCTCGTCAATCCCGTAGAGGGCCCTGCGCGGCCGCACAAGCCCGCCTTTGGCCGAGATGATGGCGTGGTGACCCGGTATTCTCGGACTATGGGACATGACCGGCATCCCGCGCACGTAGAGGTAGCAGACGCGCTTGAGAGTCTTGTTGAAGAAGAAGTAGTGGAGGGCCCAAATGGCGCCTTCTTCCTCGTCAAATGGGGCGTCGACGGGTTGGTACGAGAAGATGGAGCAGTCCTTGAGGTCCATCTCTTTATCGATGGATGCCCACATGCCAGGGCCCCAGACGGGTGACATGGCGAGGCCTGAGGAGCCGAAACTCGAGGCGGCGGCGGGCGAGGTGCCCATGCAAGGTATTGTGACGTCTAGGAAAGATGAATTGGGCCGCACGCTTTGCAGGGTGCTATCTATGTGGGCCATGACGCGGCGCAACTCTTTCTCGCGCTTAAAGTCGTCGGGTCGCAGGACATTGGAGAAGTCGTAGTCGGGATGCGACGCATTGAGAGTAGCTATTAGGTATGCGTATGTGTTTCGGTTGGCCTTTTCGTTGAGCGAGCCGAATGGTGAAGACCGCTCAAAGTTGACGGTATCGGCGATTGATTCGCGCTGTGGTGGTGACAGGGACTTGCCAAACTTGATGAGGTTGTCATGCTGAGTTTGGAGGGACTGTTGGATGTTCTTGTAAAGGCGCTTGTCGGAACCCGCAGCCTTGGTGGTGTATAGATCGCAGCTGCCGGTGATGTGACAGTCTGGTGTGTCGAAGTTCAGAGCGCTCGTCACAACATCTATCGCAGGAAGAGATAGAAACTGTGAAAGGGTCAATATTGCTTTCGACGATCAACCACTCCTGGTATTTGGAGGGTAGCGGTGCCCGGTTCGACCGGTGCGACGTATACTTGCCTTCATTTTGCCGGTGGTTGCGATGGCATGCGACTTGTGAAGGTGATGTGACAATTAGGCAGTGGTAAAAGCCGGGAGGCGTTTGGCCGTTGGGGTAGTGATAAATATGATAGGTATTCGCAATGTGGTGCGACGAATAAATGGGAGACGGTGAGAGTTGCAACAAAGGCGATGAACAAGTGGCAGGCCCAGCTCAGCAATCGTTGTGGTCGTTGGTTGGAAGCGGGAGGGGTCGAGCGATCGCCAGATGGAAAAAGTTTGAATATGAAGTGAGTTACCACAAGGATATTATTAGTGTTTGTAGAGAGTCAACCAGTAATTCTTGATCCCGGGTCGATCCGTGATGGCGCAACAGATTGATGCGAAACGTTGATGTTATGGTTGTTGTTATTGTTGTTCGTCGGAAAAGGCGGTGCGGAGGAAGTGGGAACAGGGTGTGGTGAACGGGGGATGATGTGACCAATCTAGGTCCCTCCGACGAGTCCGTGAGTTCGGGGGAAAGCGGTTATGGAAATCCTGCCTATCAACTCCCAGATTAAGTCTTAGATATGAACAAAGACAGGGACACGGGATGTTATGATGTCTAGCGCGATGTCGAGTACAGATAGTGAAAAGGTGTAGGTGGTTGTACACAGTAGATAGTTAGAAGTGGGGTTTTTGTTGTTGTTGATGTTGATGTAAGTTTAGCGTGAGGAGAAATAGGGGTGACGATATCGTCATATATCGAGTGATGTCCTGCTGTTTAGTTGAAGTGAGGTTGAGATCAGTTTGGCAAACAAAAAGTGGGAAAAGTGGGAGGAGGGACAACTTGGATAAATCCCATACATGTAGTGTATGATGTTCTTTCCAATCCATCCGAATTGAATCCAAGGGGACCGCCGGCTATCGGGTCGGCATAATGTACAGCCATCATGCTTTCCGTGTTCAGCTTGGCTCCAGTCAGTCCTCTTGTTGGTCATTGATATGCTGGTGCCCCGGTTGCGGTCTCGCTTTCCATCGATGGCTCGTTACCTATCTGACGTTCCAAGCCGTGCCATCAGGACCAGAGCCGGTTCGCTGACGCTGACAGTAACAGGTGGGCGGCCTTTCGGGTGAGTGGCCTGCTTGCGCCAGCCCACGTTGGCCTTGGCTCGCTGGGGATTGCTGGGGTCGACCCGCCTAAACCCCGGTCATGCGCTGCTGGCTCCTCGAGTCGGGTGGAGTCGCACCCCCTAAGTGATCGGCGTTCCCTTGTCACCACCAAGTCTCCATTCCCACTCACTCCCCTCCGCCGTTCCGCCTGGAAGCCTCCAGTCATCGCAGTGCGTTCCACTTCCTGTGTGTCAATGTTTGTCCCGGCCTGAATGCTGCTCATGTTAATTGTCAACCACAACCACCTGACGAATAGAGTCGTCTCAACCCTCCACGAGCGTTGCTTTCAACGTCGATGTGGACAAACCTTTCCTTGGTGGGCATCAAGGTAATACCACCCCAAACGTCTCCCGAGCGAATCGATCTGTTTCTGCGCATACACCCGATGTGTGAGGTCATGAACAGATGGATCGGTGTTGGCAACGCGTCGTTGAATCGTTGTTATCATTAAGCACATTGCCGAGGCCATGCCCAGTGTACCGGATACGCATTCCACTTGATTTCCTCCCATCATCGTCCATGATTAGGACATCAGTGGTGTATCCGGTCTCCGAGTGGCTCAGTTTTGGCAGCTCATTAATCTACAATGCCCATATCTATATGATTAAGGAAAGGGAGTTTGCTCCCTCCTAATGGGTGACTGTAGCCCCGACTTCCTGCCACCACACCACACTCTGCTTCCCCTTCTCTCGGCGCGATTATTATTGTCCTCCCTGGTTGCATATGCTGTACTCTCGTGCTTCGGGTCGCCCCTCTCGTCTGTCCATCCGGTGCCGTCACCTATCGGAGGGACTGTGGTTGCTACCACTGCTTCAGAGAATTCCGGCCTGCTTGAGTGCGTTGTTTATTTCTTCCAAGTCCTGCATCAGGAGGTCAGGGTATGCATTAGCGTGTGCTGTTGGGGTAAATAAATGTCGACCATTGGCACTCGCAAGTGTTTGAGGGGACCCGGTCCGGTCGGTCGTGATGATGGGGAAAAAGACACCACAAAGCTTGATCAGCCTTTACATGATCTTTGTGACTTCATCCTCGACCTGAGGAAGTGCAATAAACGTGTCAGTGAGCGCGGTGGTCTATGGATAAGGATTGCAACAAGGGGGGGAGCGTGTAGGCGTAGCAACGCGGGAAGAAGGCAAATTCTGTCCGGGCAAGCGGTCACGGCTCCAAGTCAAATGCTTGTACGCACCTCCATGTCCTCTAAGGCGTCTTGTTGCGATATGCATCGTAGGACATTCTTCTTGCTGCTTTCCTGCAACTCTCCCGCCAGCAGGAGCTCGTCGAGGATGTAGTAGGCTTTGGTAAAGGAGAAAATGATGTCGAGCTCGCAGACGTTGCCGTAGTACTTGTCCATCTGCTCGACATAGCGATGGATGATCTCGAGGGTGATCAGCTCGTTGTCCTCGGAGGAGCATCCGGCGATGAAGAAAAGCGAGGCATATCGGCGGTAGACAATCTTGGTATCTGCACACGAGCAAAAAGACAGTTAGCCCCATGTTGTGTTGCGATCCAGGAGAATTGGCGGAGCTTGCCTTTGTATTCGAGAAAGTTGCACATGCGAGTCCTCCTAGCCAGGACAAGCTGGGAAACGTCCTTGACGATCTTGGCCTTGTCCTTGGGAGACAGAGTGGTGAACCATTTGGCCAGGCGCTGGATATTTGACGTGCGGTTAGTCGGGAGAAGGACAGCGTGGTTGGGGACGAGAGCAACGCCCGCGGCGGGCAAGACGCACCACTTTGCCCTGGCGCGAGAGGAGGATTAGATAGCTGCAGAGCTCCGGGTCAGCTTGACTTCATTGTGAATAGCAAGATGGCGACTGTCGGGCGCATACTGAATAGCCATGATGACGATGATTCCATCAACCACCCAGGATCACGTTGAGCGGAAGTCGACAATGTGATCATGGAGGTGTTGTCACGGGCGGGAAATTTGACAAGGACACCACGCCGATAGCCTGGACTCCTCCCGCCTGGAGCTGTCCAAAGGGGCGGGACGACGGCCGTCCAATGTGCCCCAAGAACCAGACCCAAGGCAAGTGGGGCTCTGCTCGGTCCTAAAGAATGTTAGTGCATCTGGCACTACTCGGTCTTCAGAGGTTTCTTTAGTGGTCTTACAGCAGATGATGTGCTCCTGAGTTGATCACGGCTTAACATAGGAGTTCGTTGATCGTCTACATAACTGTAGGTACCTAACGACAATTGACGAGACTTTTTATCTTCTGCTGATGTTGCTGGGCAAACCCCCTAACGCACACAAAATCTCAAGAACGGATCGAAAGGGAAGCCCTTTTTTCATTAGTAAATCCCCTCAATCGTAGCGGGCGTCTGGTTCATTTTTCTGTCATCTTCTGCCGGCATATCTCAACTAGTTCTCTTCCTCAGTGTTGGTGGCCGTAACAAGCGAACATGACTGAGCGTGGGAGAAGTACAAGGCTCCCCACGTTCACCAGTTCCTCACCCAACATTCCTGTCAGACCTTCTGGTTGGCTGTCGCTTTCTTCTCCTTCTACGGCATCCCGCGCATATCTACACCGAAGTGTGGTTGAGAACGCAACCGACAGCCATCAGATGCCGAAGCTGGCATGGCTGCCGATGATACTCTAGGCAATGTCCGCGACATGCATCTCCGACTCTGACAAACTTGCTTGAGAGTCCACACTTGTTCTTGCTCATGGCGTCCTTCCCTGGGAGTTGCGTATAGAGGCATGCTTCACCTAGCGCAAAGTCAAAATCCGAGAGTCGGATGAAGACCAACCTCCGATTTATGGTCTGCGGACATCCCACATTGCGAGAACTCCGTCTAACCTCTATCCTGGGTTATGTTCTTGGTCGACGACGGATATTCATACTTTTCCAAACCGATGTTCCCCTGTGTCATTACAACTGCCTATCTCTGGCAACACCACCCTACCATCGGCGTTTGTGGTGATGCATATCATCACAAGCTTACAAAAGGTACCTTCATACTCCCGAATCGAACCACCCCCGGACCCATGCCAGTAAATCATTAATAATCGGTTCTAGGCTCCATTGAACCAAACAAGTCGAACCCCACTATCCAGTCTAAAGTTCAAGAGGTAGAGAGATTCGTCTTGCGCCAGGCCAACGTTTTAACTTTTTTTTTACCCATTTCCAAAAGAAAAGGAAAAAAAGGTCGTCAACATCCTCAGCAGTCATGGCCAAGTTAATACTTTCTACCGGGTATGTCTGTCCTTCTCTTCATTGTGTGACTTCGGTCTCAAGCATGATGGCGCAGGGCAGGGCAGGCCATGTGGTTTGTCTCTTGTCTTTACGTGTGCGACCTCGCTTGAAAATAGGCAAGATAGTCATCTCTTAGACCCAATCACTAATTGCGTGCTCGAACTTTTTTTTTTCTCCAGAAACATCATTTCCGGCGGGCCCTCCATTGTTCGCAAGCCCGGCGCATCCAACCTCGAACTCGTAAACTCTCTGAAAGTCAGCTTCCAAGATGCGCAACTAGACTACGCCGACGAGATTGAGAACCTGAATGCGAATGGAACGACGAAGACGACGACTACGACCAATGGCACCAGCAATGGCGTCCACGAAGCCACAAATGGCGATAGCAACACTACCGACCCCGTAGCAGGCCCGCTCTATTGGACGGCGCAAGACCAGAAAAACAACACAATCTTCGTGCCCCGCATCGACTGGGAAACCGCTGGACTCTCTGAAGAGTGTTCGCAGTACGACATTACCGTCAAGATTTTCTTCCTGCCTACCACAACGCCCGACGTTTCGAGGCGGGCGCAATACACAACCGAAGCAATGGAGCTAGTGCTCAAAGAGCTCGGAGGGATCCCAGACGTCGACCTGCTCGTCGTTTCCTTCCCGGGCATGTCCTTCGACGGCGACTGTGAGTGGGAGGCCGACAAGCTGAACGCTTCGCAGGGTGACGACGAGTCCGAGATTGCGACTTGGCAGGCGGCCGTCGAGGAGCTGCACCGCCAGGGACTGGTGAAAAGGCTGGGCATCTCCGAGTTTGGCACCGAGAAGCTGGCGCGGTTCATCAAGCGCGTGGCAATCCCGCCGGCGGTGGACCAGATCAACCTCAAGAACTGCTGCAACGTGCCGCCGCCGCTGGCGACGCTGGCTAAGGAACAAAATGTGGAGTTGTTGGTGCATAGCGATTGCACGGATATCTTGCCCGAGGGGACGCTGAGGGAACTCCTGGGCCCGCAGGGTGCTGGGCTTCTGGCTGACCCAGCGACGGGCAGCGGCGGCTTGACGGGAAACCTCACGCCACAATGGGTGATTAAGTACACGGCTGTGGTGAAGAATAGGGGCGTGATTGAGAATAAAGGATACTTTGCCGGTGCCGAGTTGAACTGAGGCACTCACTCTAAAATACTTGGGGGGTTAATAGAACCGCATACAAAACCGACCTATATAGCTGCTGCATATTGTGTAGCTGGGTCGAAGGGAGTTTTTTTGGATGGGACGGGTGGCCAGGCAGGCAAGCAGGCATTCTGATTCTATTGATATTACTACCAATTGCGTTGTCTTCCTTGCTTATGAAAATGGAATTTTGATTTGCATGAATGTATTGCGACTTCACTTTCCTTTCCAGCGCGCGAGCTCCGCTGTTCGGACTCATCATCATGGCAAAAATGTTCTTGTATGTGCATAAATTCATGGGTATCCTTTCTCGCCTGGTTGTCGCCAAAAAAAGAGATGTACACCATTACCCAATCATGCTCCTCTTCCTCCCACGCATCCTCACATCCTCCAATTTATGTAACACGGACGCTCCCTTCTTGAAGCTCTGCTTGTACGACTCCAGCAAGTGCTCAAACAGGTTCTCCGCCCGGGGGTGTGTGCTCGCGAACGCCCTCTCGAGGACATACAGATCCGTCGCTCGGTCTTCGTCCGACTGGCTCTGGTTCGCCAAGCCAAAGTCGATAATCACCACGTCTCCCTCCAGCAGCTTGGCCTTTTCCTCTTCTTTGCTCACTCCATTCGTCTGCTCGCTCGTCATCGTCGTCGTCGTCTTCTTCGTGTGTGGCCTCAACATCATATTACTAGTCGTCAGATCTCCATGCACCACACCCGTCCTATGCAACGCCGCTATCGCGGCCCCGATCCTCTTCATCAACTCAATCAACGGTCCTTGATCCTGCTCCGCGGCTGACCTTTCCTCCTCCTCATTCTTCGGCCTCTGCCCCAACCACTCATTGATCTTCACCCGCACCGGCGCACCCTCAATCCATTCCACCGCGATCCAGCCCGCTGCCGCGTTCTGGGCGTACACGGCAGGCACGGGAACGCCCTCGCGCCGGCACCGCTCGAGGACTTTGGCTTCGAAGGCGAGACGGGCTTTGGTCAGGCGGGCGTCGAGAACCGGGTGCCGGTAGGGCTTGGGAGGTCGGTACTTGAGCGCGCAGGGGATGTCGGGAGAGAAGAAGGTTGTTTTGTAGAGACGGCCTTCGGCGCCTTGTGTGATGAGGGTGGGAGGGGCGGCGGAAGGGTGGGTGAGGATCGGGGGGAGGGGGAATTGGTGTTCTTCGACAACCGCGGGGGCGGCGGTAGAGGTTGAGGTTGAGGTCGCCATTTTGCGCTTTTTGGTGGGGGGTGATTGAGGAGAGGGGTCCATCAATCTGGCAGCCTTATTGTTGTTGAAAATGTCGTGAAGGAATGGATGTGCGGTTGAGTGGTATCTGGTGAGGTTTGTTGCGCGTGCGGTTGTGTCGTTGTGCCCTGTGTTGATTATCGCGAACTTTTGTTTTGGCGGCAGTGGGCTTGTCTGCCAAACATTGCGCTGGAGGGGCAGAGGGGCACCGGACGCATTGTTGCTGGGAAAGGAAAAGTGCCAAGCTTTCACAAGAGCCCCACACAGGGTAAGCACAGGGCAGTATTGTTAACACTGTGCCGCTGAATTAAACAACACTGCACCATGAGCGGCCGTTTGGTGACTGATCTTGACTCTGAACAACATCTCCAGATCAACGTTGATCAACCACTCGCCTTTGCACAAATGTCACATCGTTACTGTCTCCTGAAACTTCACTGTTCTTCATATGTTGACAACAACGGAAAATCACTTTTGGGAGATACTCACTCCAAAATAGGCGCCGGATTTGCTGCACAAGGACAAACCGATCCAACCTAGTCTTTGTCCCTCTGAGAGGTTGTCTTCACCTGTCCACTATCTGGAGGATCTGCGGCTTCGGACTGCAGTTTATCTCACATTGTATCATGTCGAATCTGTTTCAAAGCATCAAATGAGACGAGATGTTCCTGAACGGCCAAGCGGCTAGATAATCATAGCGTTCAGAGCCAGTCCGAATGGAGAGGTTTGAAGTCAAAGACATGTACATCGATGCTCGAACATCCAACCGCATTATTTTGATGATCAGGTTGTGATATTCAGGCCGGTACCTCGCATAAGCTGGTTGTTGACGTTGATGCTCCGGGCCCACGTCCACTTGCCGACCCCTCCTTCCGGGCGGCAGACAGGCGGGCAAGAGATTCCCCGCAACCCCCGCTGCCGACCGCCGGCCCCCAGGTACGGACCTGCGTCACCGGCTTCAACAAGCCGATGATACTACCACAGTACTCGTGCATTGCAGCTGTCAAGTCATCAAGCTTGTAGTACCTATTCCATTTCATCCTTTTTCTTCTGTCTGTTCTTCCCTCCTACATCTTACATTCAATGTCCATCTCCCTCAAACATCTCCTCCGCAGTTCACTACCACACCGGCTATCCTCTTACACACGACTTACACGACTTCCGTCGTCACCACTCACCAACACCACCAGATCACTCACCACAACCCCACTCACCAAAATGCGTCTCCCCTACGTCCCCAACCCCCCACCCACCTCTTCGGAAGCCGAACAAGCCATCGTCGACCGCATCACCGCCCGCCGCGCACCCCGTCCCCTCCAACCCTTGGACCTAACCCTGCTCCACTCCCCGCCCGTCGCCGACGGCTGGAACTCCTTCCTGGGCGCCATCCGCACGCAAACCCTTCTTCCCGCGGACGAGCGCGAGCTGGCCATTTCCCGCGTGGCCGTCTGCAACGGCGCCTGGTACGAGTGGCACCACCATGCGCCCCTGGCCGTTCAGGCGGGCGTCAGCGAGGGCGAGGATGGTCTGGGGGTGGTCAAGAGGCAGGAACCGCTGCTGATTGAGGAAGGAGACCGGCAGAGGGGAGGGTTGAATGAGAGGCAGTGGGCGGCGGTGTGCTTGACGGATGAGATGACGAGGAATGTGAAGGTGCGGGATGAGACGTTTGAGAAGGTTAGAGGGCTGTTTAGCAAGAGGGAGGTAGTGGAGTTGACTGCTATTGTGAGTACTGTTTCTTTGGGTTGTGTCTTTATGATGAGGGGAAAACTCGGAAAGATGCGGGCGAGGGAAGAAGGAAAAGGGTGAGGGAGGTGTGGGTGAGAGTGAGATATGAGAGACCGTCAAAGGTCGAGGAGTCCGGGAGGATGGCGAGCAAAAGGCCGTGTCGAGAGCAAAGTTCTTGGGGCTAACATCGACTCACTAGATCGCTTGCTACAACTGCGTGAGCCGTTTCCTTGTTGCGCTGGATGGTAAGTCTTTTCTTGTGGCTTTTGGGATCTCAATACTGATCATGTTGTGCAGTTGGAGAGAGAAACGGCACTGGTCCGGACGATGCTGCTCACTAGGGGCGATATATCCTGGTGATAATAGTGCTTTCAGAACAGTGCATATCGAACATTGTGTTGACCTTCAATTTCAGTTAACGTCACATACGGTTTTCTTCTTGCAGATTGGTCAATGGTGCATCTAGAATTTCTCTTTTAGTCACTAACTCTTTTGTAACTAATCTATCGACTCTAACCCTCTTATGTTGACGAATGGGTTGAAGAGTAGGTGAACCTTCAAGTGTGAAACGAACACTTTCCCTTTTTATCGAACGCCGTCTCTTTTGGCACTGAGCTCATCGGTGCGGATCACCTTGGAATGCCATCATGGATGCAGTTTCTTGCATAAAACATTCCTCGGGACTCGGGGTCCATCCTGATCTACCAGGCTTACCGAAAACAACAATCCTGCGGAAGAGTCAAGGAATATGGTGTACAGTCATGAGACGCCCATACACTAGTCCCAACTATGGAAGACGGAACGATTCAAAGACAAAGTATCCATTCAGCTCTTGGACGGTATCACACATGGTATTTCGGCTCAGTCTCCTGTCATCGACCAAGATCAACGTTCGAACCGATCACAAGAGAAAGCCACTTCCATGTTTCTTCTTCCCTCCGAGCCTCTTGCCGTATCAGAAAAAGCGTGATAATTTTGTGGGGGAGTGTCTTACTTAAATCTCTCAGCTTAGGTCTGCTCTTATAAAGTGCTGTCTCTGGGCATGAGTGAAATGTCCCTCTGTTTCCCTTCCTCCTCCAAGCTACAGAGTTGGCATGTCATCTTCCACGCCTGGCAGCACTCAAAATTGCTATCCATGTCGCTAACTTCGTAGGCATGTTCGACTTCTTCTTCTGTGACAAGAAGGGTAGACAGATAACAGAAGCTCCAGAAAACGAACAGGAGCAATCACACGTCTAGTGGGAGGACATGCTGGTGAGGTTGAAATATAAGTGAAAACAACAGTGGACTTGGGAAACGGCTGGTAAAGGGACGGACATGATTGGGATTAAGGGATTGTGATTTTATGGTCTAAATTTTGTCATAGTAGCTACGATTGATGAAGTTACATGCACAAGGAAATATATTACTTTAGTGAACGCCAAAGAATCAGTGAGTGAACCGTCACGGCCGTCACCCACTGACGGGTTACTGGAAGTTCCACTCCGGCGGGATCTGTGATACCATATGTGAGAGGGGCAAAACAGAAAGGCGAGGGAGTAGAGAAAATAGATAGGAAAGTCTCGAGGGCAAAAAAGGAGCAAGTGACAAAATCTCATTAAAAAAAACATACAACACCAGGGGATTCGCTGGTCGTCACCGACCCAACTACTAGTCTGGCCCTCACTGGCTTATCTATGGGAGAGCGGACGGGATCCCGAGTTTTCCAGTGGGTATGGTCGTATGTGCTTATTGAGGGTATTTTGTGCGTCTATAAACCCAATTCGAGTGTATTGGCAGCTATGTACCAGACGGACCTAGATTCTCATTCAATGAAAAACTCCTGCCTCTCCCTCTCCAACCTGCCCTCCAACTCCCCATCCATGATCCCATCACAATAAGCCTCGCCAACAAAAGTGTACGTATTACTAGAGGTACTGTAATGATTGTCGTCGTCACCCTCTCCATGTCCTGCCGGCCTGAGCACATACGGTATGCTATCCCCACACAGCAGGACCACCACATCACCGGGTTGCGCATGCTTGGGCGCCATGCCCAGGTATCCCTTCTGAGCAGTGAGATACGGACGTTTTCCGTCCATGCGCATCATGTTATTCAGGTATGATCCTTTGGACTGGAGCTCGTCCCAGCGATCGACCATGAAATCGAGGGTTTCCTGGTCGAGTTCGGGGGGTGATGGTTCGTTGTTGTTGCCGCTACCGGTTTCGCTTTGCTGTTGCTGTTGCTGTTGTTGTAGTTTTTGTAGTTTCTCGTCCACGGAACAGCAAAAGCTGCAATGGTCAATCAACTCCATAAAGACCGGGACAACGTCATCGGCCGTTGCCCTTCCTCGTTTTTGGGGGCCGTTCACGTAGCAGTCGCCGAGTGCCAGGCGCCATAATGATTGGTTGCGTCTTGAGGGGTTGGGGTATATTTTGTCATTATCGCTAGAAAAAGAATTCTTTTCTGCTGAGCGACGCTTCATGTCTTTGATAATGGCAAAGTACTGAAGGATGTAGCGGTGGTAGGCCTTCAGACCCCAGTCTGCACGCCAGGGCAAGCCCACGGCCTCGATCTTGTCGACCACCAGGCCCCGGAGGCCGAGAATGGATGGAGAGGAGGTGGGAATGAGGTCGGCTGTTGATGAAAATTTGCCACAGGCTGAGAATACGTTGTCGAGGAACTGGTAGCTGTATTGTGTTCCGTTCGCCCAGTCTGGGGCCCACGACGGGAGTTGCTCGGGTTGGCAGTGGCCGGCTTCGTCAGGATCCTCGACATTGTGTTTTGGAAATTGTGAAAAGCGGAGAATGGAAACGCTGCCTTCCGTCTTGATGATACTCCGCGCTGTCTGTGTGAGTACCTCAGCGGAGGTGGTGGACTTGCTGTAATCCGGCCGAATATCAAGCCCTTCGGCATCGGCCACTAGACCAAGCAGCCCATAAACTCTATCCCGATATTTTGTTGAGAGAATATCGACGCGGTGGTCGCCGAGATCAAGCCGCGTAGACACCTGTACGAGTAGTTCTCGTAAAGAGGCGCGTTTCCCACGCTTCAACGACCCTTTTGTGTCAAACAGATGCTGCATCGGGGGTGGGAGTAGGGTTGCTGGTACCGAATCCACCAACGAAAGGATCTCAGGATGGTCTTTGAAGGCGTTCCGGAATCTTGTGTCGTGGTGGAAGTCGGGGAGAATGAGGAATACTTCCCATACCAGTAGCACAACCTCATCAAGGACCGCTCTGTCACCGCACACAAAGAAGGTGTACTGATTGAGACAAAACTCTTGGATTGTCCATATCCGTAAAAACCAGTTCCTCTTGTACCAAGCCAGGAACTTCTTCTCCCGCAACAATGGGACGACTATCGGTACGACTTTCCGAAGCAACTCTTCAACCTCAGGGGTGTCTATCCTGTTGTAGAAGATGGCGCGAGGGGCAGGAAACCATTTTATAGCCCGGTCCTTGCCGAAAAGTTCAGAATCCCACATGCACTCGGCAACCTGGCGGAAGGCTTGGAAAACCTCGTCAGAGCCATCAGCATCCAGGCCAAGCCAGACGTACACTTCCTTTGCCGATGAGTAGATCTGATTCATGAGTTGAATCTGACACGACTTTTCTTCGTCATCATCTTGATTGATACAGACCTGGTCGATCCAAAGAGGCGTCAAGCGGAGTTCCTTGTACGTACGGAATTGACGCAGACAGGTATCCAGTGAAGATGTGATGGGTAGGAGACATGTGTGCCCATTCTCTTTGTCCAAGCCTTCCTCCGTCGATGTTGGTGCCCGGTCGTAGTCAACGATGCGGATGCTGTGGGGTTTGGTGTTATCGCCCCAAGCATACGATACAGCGCTGTAGCTTGGCAAGTCTGCAACGGGCGCGGCGTATAGCTTGCAATAGAGCTCGTCTTTATTATCAGAAACCGGGCAGAGCTCCAGTAGACGGACGTGAGTGTTGGCGTCTGGAAGAGGCACCGAGTTGTAGCTGAATTGGCCTTTTTCTGTCGTTGCCATCCTATTTTTTGGAGTTATAAGGCATGAGCATAAGCATTGGTGGTGCCATGTGCAAGTACATCCGAAGAGATATCGATTATGTATTACAGAGAATATGATAGGGAACAACAACAGGCTGAGAGATTGGGCGCTTTGAGGTGGTGAGGACTTTGGCGGAGTAGGTGTTGTCGTTGGAGGGAAGTTGACGACAACGGAAGGATTTCTGGTCGAGGAGGGGAGTACAGGGTTTATAGTAGTCAATAAGCGCGCTGTGAGGCATCTCATTCGTTGCGCACTGTCGTAGTAAGATTTTAAGCTCGAATTTTGGGTGCAGGGATACATCCAAACAAACGACTTGAAACAGGAGAAGTTGTTGGAGGATTCCAAGCGCCTAGGCGTCTTCTGCTCGCTCGTTAGAAGATGGGAAGCCATCAACATTATCAAGACCGAGATCCAGCCCTGCTTGGAATGCTATTTGATATTGCTAGTCATATTTCCAAATTGATACAAAAAAGCTTAGTAGTCCTATATTGTCCGTTAGCTCCCAGCACCACATCATAATACAACCGTGGAAGGTCATCAAGGGCATTGGTTTGCTCAGACAGCTTCCCAATCCATAGCATCCACCATGAACTCCCACTGATCCGCCTCCTGCGCCGCCCAATCCATCATGGTAGCATCACCATCCTCATCATCATCATCCGCCCAGTTCAGCGACGACTGCGCACCCTTCTCTAAACCACCCTCCTTGTCCCGAACATGCCACTCGGCAATCAAGAACGCCGCATCGAACCCTTGGAAGATCGTCTCGAGCATCTTTTCCACGTCATAACTCTCCAACGGGGCCGTCAACTTGACCCGCTCCTTCTCCTCGGCCTCCGAGTCGGCCGTCTTCCATCGGTTCCGCAAGTCTTTTGCCCGCTGCAGTTGCTTGCGCACTTCGCCCTTGCCCAAGATATCATGCAGTGGGTGAACAGGGGAATCAAACGCTTCCAGAACATGAGCGTGATACCGATGCTGAAACTTTCCACCCCCATTTCCTCCAGCAGCAGTAGCAGCAGCACCCTCTCCCTTAGCCCCAGCCCCAGCCCCAGCCCCTTCCCCCACTGCAGCAGCCCGATTAGGTGAACCCTCCTTAGGACTTCCCCCACGGCTGCCTTCCCGGCTCCCTCCTCCTCCGTGCTGATTAAACCGACTCCCCGCCAATCCCTTCCCCTGAATCCCATTCCCACTAACCGTAATCCCAAACACCCCCAGCAGATGGACCAGCGCGCGCTCGATGAGCATGTAGTACTCGAAGAAATCGAGCTTGAACATGATCTCCCCCTCGTTGAGCACGCCACCGCTGATCACGGCGTCGCCATGCTTGGGGTTGCGGCCCTTAAGCGCGAGGGCATAGCCGGAGGCCAGGAAGGGGAGCTTCCATTTGAGGCGGCGGACGATCTTGGTGTAGCGGATCAGCTCGTGTTTGGCGGAGGGGCTAACGCGGACCGGGGATTTGGGGGTCGGGGAGGTGTTGCTAGTGGTGGTCCTGATGGGGATGGAGGTAGTGGTGATGGGAGGTGGAGGACTGGGGGCGACCACAGATGGTTTTCGTTGAGCCCCGGCCTGCGGCTGTAGTTGAGGGGATACTTGGGTCCTTGGTGGAGACGGAGGATTCACGGGTGCTTTTGCCGGGGCTGGTGAAGAAGGAGGTGGTGGTGACTGTTGCTGAGGTTCTGGATCGGACTTGGGAATGTATTTCATGAGCTGCTTTTTGCGTGGTGGCCGGTGCTTCTTGGACTTTGGACCTGGTCCATCGTGGAAAGATTCGCCTTCATCATGATGGGAATCTGGAGAGGGGTCAGCTACTGGACAAGCATTGCGGTGAAAGACCACTAAACGGATACCATGAGGCATGTGACATGAGAGAGCAAAGACCCCCTGGTTGATGCGGTATGTGGTGTCATGTCTGCGATACCACATATGCCATCCATCCTGTGCAGTCCATATTTGCGACCCCTGAAAACATGCATGCTCCGTGGCTGGAACAGCTTCAACGACCATCATAGTGCCTTTTCCGTCCATTCCAAGAACAGTCATCCATTATTTCACTGACAATCGATGTGTCCGTCGTGTTCTGGCCAGATGCTGTAGACCGTACGTGCCAGGCTAAGAGCACTGGAGATGGGGCTGAGAAGGGATAGGGGGCATGGATGTAGCTTCTGAGCAAGGGAGACTCACGGTGAGAATGAGATGGCGGCGGCGATGAGGATGGCGGTGGTTGATGTGCCTTTGGGGCATGTATCGAGTTCATTAACCCTCCTGCCATGATGAAATGCGGCTACGTTTATGTGTGGCTATGTGATTGTCGTACAATATTGGCTTCCAGGTTGATCGGGCGCGGTATAACGAATGAAAGTGAATGCGGCTGAACGGTAACAATAATGCACAAGATATCTAACAATGAAAATGAAGCAATGCCAGCTGAACAAAAAGGTGTGGTCGTGGATCGCAAGGCTATGATGGATTGGTGGTGTTGAGGTTCAGAAGTGGTGAACACGGCTCCACGCGCAAGTTGGACACTTTGACAATTGCGTCGTCTGATTTGATTGCTCTGTCCTGCTTTCTCAGAGTGAGAGGTTTGGATGAAGGTGGCATCATGGACCGCTGTTCCCTGCACACTTCAGTTGCCTGGGGCCATCAATTTGACGTCTCCATCGCAAAACATGCCTCGGCCATTTCAGCTGGAGGGGGGGGAAAGGATGCCAGATGCGCTGTACACACACGAAGAACACTTGTCGTATCGCCAACGTTGACTACGAGTTGGTTTCAAAATAGGGTGCGTCACATTGCGGCCCGTCGCGACCAACGGCATGGTTCAGCAGTCATCAAGCATTGCGTGCGTGAATGTCAACTGCAGGCACTGCGGCCACCCCGCGCGCATGAACCCCAGAACAACCAAGATATTCCCTTTACCTCACAATTAGAACACGAACAAGACCAGCAATTTCATCTTCCTCACACCCCAAGCGCGCAGCCCAGGATTGCAATGAAGAAAAAGGTTGAGCACAAACAAGTAGTAGTTCGCGTCGCCTGGAGGCAGTGTAATACCAGGGACACAGTGGAAGGTAATCATAGGCAAGCCTAGAGGAAAACCGACCGCGTTGCAAAAATTAGAATAATCACGATTGTACTCCGTAGAGTACTTTCAGAGATTAAACTGAAAAGAACAGATACTACACTTGATCTAAGCCAAAAGGCAAAGAGAGCTAAAGAAAAAAGAGAAGAAAAAACCAGGTAAAACTTTGGGTGGGAGGAGAATGTTAAATAGGTACTCATGATGGTCTGTGCACGAGTGCAAGCTGTGAAATTCAGAGTGGGGTATCTAGCCGCAGCTGTAGGACAGCCGTCAACTGTCAGCCCTGTTCAATTGCAAACGCAGGTCTGGACGGATAGCCGGCGGCAACTCGGCCGGCACATTCATTACCCATCCGGCAGGCATCTTGCACAGTCCGAGTACCTTGACGGCGTTACCTCGCTGCTGTCATCTTGTCGTCGGACCCCGTTCACCCCGATGTCCGACCTCGTGCCTCCGTAACGGTCATTCCCTCGAGCATTTTGTCGCTCTCTGCCAGTAAGGTATGCATATTGAAGGGCCTTTTCGGGGACTATCGCTTTTGCCAGTGGTGGAAATCGATCTCAGTTCTCCATTGCTTCGCCTCGTCCCCAGCCTCCCATCTCGTCACTTGCTTATTTCCGGCGATTGGTTCGAAATACTGTGAATAGTGCCATCTATACGAGGATTCGTGTGCTACATTATTTACTACGAATTGGTTGCGGAAAATGTCGGACATAACGGACCAGTTCCTGGGATTTCCGTACTCGGCCATTGCTAGGAGCACGATGACTACGATCCAATAGTGTACGAATGCTCTTTTGTTAGTTACCGGTAGCGACGACGTGAAATGCGACATTTTCCTGCTGAGGATGTAACTCAGAGGAGTAAATCTGTCCAGCTGACAGTCACAAACCGACTATCACCAGTGATGAAGAGAGTCTAGTCTTTCCGAACATGTCCGGAGGAGTCAGATGCCAGATGGGGATGACTTTACAATTCCGGGCATCACGGACTTGACCTCCTATACAATTATGGACATTACGGACTTGACCTCCTATAAAGTGTCAAAGCGCATCGTGAATATCAACGGTGAGTGGTAGAGGAAGCTTCTCCGCTCCAAACATTGACAACATCACACCATCATCGTCTTTCGTCTCATACACATCCAGATATCATTGCAATACAACACCTCAACCTCAACAATCACAATGGACCACTGCGACGTCCTGATAGTCGGAGCTGGCCCGGTAGGGACTACTCTAGCCCTCGAACTGGCTCTGCAAGGCGTCACATTCCGCATCGTCGACAAAAGCCCAGACAGATCAGAGAAAAGCAGAGCCTTGATCGTCCACCCTCGTACTCTGGAGCTGCTAGATCGCCATGGAACTGTTGACAAGCTCATCTCTAGAGGTACTATCACCCGTGGCGGGGTGTTAAACATCAAACAAAAACTGGTAGCCAGAATGAATCTGGATGATCTTGACATCACGGACACGAAATATCCTTTGCCTCTGATGGTCTCTCAAGCCGAAACCGAGCAGTTCCTGGATGAGTCTCTAGCCGACTATGGCAAGGCGGTTGAGCGGGCTTATACTGCTACGAGCGTCGTCCAGGACGCCAACGGAGTCACCACAACTCTAGAAAAGCCAGACGGCACTCAGATAACGGTTCGATCCAAGTACGTCGTCGGTTGTGACGGCGCGCACAGCTTGGTCCGACATTCAGCAAAGAACCTCACCTTTGACGGGGACGCCTACCCACAAGACTTTATCCTCTGCGACGCCCGCCTACGCAACTCCAACGTTGCGCGGGACCGCTTCACCATTAATTTCGGCGACACCGGCCTACTGGCATTCTTTCCCATTCAATCATCCCACAGCGAGAGCGAGGGCGAGGAAGGTCTCATCCGCCTCATCGCATCAGGCGGCCGCTCCGTCCTTAAGCACTTACCACGATCAGGATCAGGATCTCCTGTGGTCCCTGCTGAACAACAACAGCAACAACAACAACAACAACAACAGCGGCAGCACGGCGAACAAACTCACGAACCCCCCACCCTCGCGCACTTCCAATCCCTCGTGGACACCATCGCCCCTCCCGGCTCCGGCACCGTGCACTCCCCCACCTGGCTCGCCCGCTTCCGCTTACACCACCGGGGCGTCAACTCGTACCGGTCCGACCGACTCTTCGTGGCCGGCGACGCCGCGCACATCCACAGTCCTGCCGGCGGACAAGGGATGAACGTGGGGATCCAGGATGCCATCAATCTGGGCTGGAAGCTGGGGACGGTGCTCAAGTACCGGGACACACTGACGGAGGAGGCAAGGGAGGCGTTGCTGGATAGCTACCATGCCGAGCGATACCCTGTGGGGAGGGCGCTGCTGCAGGGGACGGATAGGATCTTTAGCTTCACGGCAGCGGCGACTTCGTGGGTATTGAAGGTGAGGAATACGGTGCTGCCGTGGGTGATGCCGTGGTTGGTTGGGATGAAGTGGATTAGGAAGAGGTTTTATGGGTTTATTTCGGGGTTTGGGACGACGTATTCGGGTTTGGCAAGTGCGGGGGAGAGTTGTGTGGTCGGTGGTGCCAATGGGGTGAATACATCTTGGTCGTCATGGTTATGGTCATCCTCATCACCATCACCATCATCGCTGCCGGAGAAGGTGAGCAGCGGTGATCGATTGCCGGATGGAAAGGTAATCGAGCTAGGGCGATCTCATGGCGGGATAACGGCTTCTGACGTGTTGGCGAAGAGGAAAGAAACGAGCTTGCATCAACTTTGTCGAGGCGCGTCTTGGCATTTGCTGTTGTTCTCCGGAATAGGTGGAACAGAAGGTCGCGATGCGGTGACGGTCGAGGGATTGACACTGGCCGGCGAGAGGGTATTGGCGGTGGTCAAAAGTGAGTGCTCAGTTCACTGCATTTTCTACCACGCCGCAGAGGAGGATCGTGGTAGTAGCGCGGGGCAGGGGCAACAACGCCCGGGCGATGGTCAGCTGCAGCCGGTGCAGACAGTGGCAGCTACAGGGAAGAGCGCCGTTACTTCCACATATGCGGACCCGGGTGGTCGGGTCCATGGTGTGCTTGGATTGGACAATGGGAGTGCGGGATATGTGATGGTGAGACCTGACGGCTATGTTTCTCACATTGGATATCTGTCGTCACTGCAGGAATTTGTCAAGGAGTGGGAGACGAGAGTTTGTGTTTGAAGGAGTCGTTTTGTGGCTTGTTTTCATATTTCTTCTTCTTTGCTTTTTCTGTGTATTAGTCCTCTTTTGCCATTCTCGATACTCTCAGCTCCCACTCCCCAACCCCTCCGCTCAACCTACCCCAATTTCTATACCGCCGGCATTACAAAGAAGAAAAAAGAGAGGACGTCCAAGTTTAGTGTTTGCGAGTATCCCCCTGATTATCTTTTTTTTTCTCCACCCCGTCTCTCGACTTGTTTACCCCAGAGAAGCCCAAAACGGAAATTTGGCCCAGCATTTCGATCATGAACTTTTTGGAGATTTGGGGGAAGAAATTTAGCTAAATTGACTCGCAAGTTTTACGTTTTACCGGGAGAGGAGAAAAGCCTCATCAACCTGTTCCCCCATCTGTTCCTATCTCTGTGCTTACCTCATATTTCCGACAGCCTACATACATACTGTACATGGACATCACAGGAAACTGCATCAATCACATTTGAATTGTACATATGTACACGCCGAACCCCGACACATCAAATTTTCAAACGGCGCCGGTCTACCACGTGGATGACGGTGAGTGGAAATCATTGACCCTTGACAACAAGGAGCCTCCTAGCTTGCCCCAAGATCGCCGTTGGGGAGTTTGACTAGCTTGACAACCCCTATAACGGATAGGGGCGCTTTCCCACCAATTGGTTCCCGGAGAACGGTCGGGGAAGTTCTGTAGCGTATCCGCACAGGACCCTTTCGGATCCCCGGGGCCCTCGGAACGACAGCGGCCGGGCCGTTGTTTTGAAGTGTGGAAATGCGGGTATGTACAAACTACCTAAATTTCGTGGATCTTGATGGATTCAAGCCGATGCCTTTTTTTCGCCTAATACCCACATTATAAAAAGCTACATCCCCGAACGTCCCTGCGTCTCACTTTCAACTGTAGTTAACATCTCTTATCCATCCCACTTCCCCTTCTCATCCGTCATCAAACAAACAACTCTACCCTAAACCCACCCTCAACATTCACAATGTCCTCCACTCCCAGAGTCTGGCTTATCACCGGCGCCTCCTCCGGTCTCGGCCGCGAGATTGCCCTCCGCGCCCTCGCCCAAGGCGACATCGTCTTCGCCACCGCTCGCAACACGGCCAAGATCCCTGAATCTCTGACCTCCCAGGAGCTTTGCATTCCTGAGACCCTGGACGTCACCTCCCCCGATGCCGTCCTCGCCGAGACCGTCGCCCGCATCGTCTCCCACCCCAAGAACGTTCCGGGCCGCATCGACATCGTCGTCAACTCGGCCGGCTACGTCCTGGCCGGCGGCTGCGAGGAAGCTTCCGCCGAGGAGGCCTTCGCTCAGTTCAACACCAACGTTTTGGGCCAGCTGGCCGTCGGCCGCGCCGTGCTCCCTGTTCTGCGCCGTCAGCGCTCTGGAACCTTGGCGAACGTGGGCTCCATCCTGTCCTACCTCGGTCCCGCGGGCGGTGGCCTGTACAGCGGCACCAAGGCTGCGTGCTCCATCCTGTCTGAGGCTCTGACGGGCGAGGTCAAGCACCTGGGCATCAAGGTCACCTGCATTGAGCCCGGCTACTTCAGGACGTCCGTCCTCGACCAAGGCCATTTGATCCATCCCGCCAGGACGATTCCCGAGCTCAGGGGCCCCAACGGAAGCGAGGAGATGAAGAAGACGCTGGCCATGTGGGAGGCGGCCAACAACAAGCAGCCTGGCGACCCCAAGAAGCTGGCGGCTGTTGTTGTCGACGCCCTCAGTGGGAATGGCAAGTATGCCGACCGTGAACTGCCCGCGAGACTGCTCATTGGAAGGGATGCCTATGAGATTTGGGCGGCGGTGCAGGAGAAGCAGAAGAAGCAGATGGAGGAGTGGAGGGAGGAGTGCACGAGCACGGATTTTACTGAGTAAAGGGGGTGAGAGGCTTTGGGAAGGTTAGAAGTGGGGATGGGGGAAGGATGAATGAAAACCGTTGGGTTAGGGTAATGATTGTAATGAATGATTAATACCTTACTTTCTTTTCAAAATTGGACTTGTACGGCTTGAAAGACGTCTGGTGATGATGACGATGATGGTGATGGCAGAATAAAGAGGATTCGGGTGAACGCTGTTCGCTGCTGGCAGCTCGTCGCACCTCAAATGACGTGGCTCAGCATGGATGGGAAGGGGGCCAGTTTGGTAAGACAGCAGTGGGCAGGTAATGAAGGCGATGAAAGGGAGAACTGAGCGCAGCAACTGGTGTTACATTATATGTACTCTAAACAGAAGAAGTCCACGAATGCTAGGGCCCTAAATGCATGCACTGTGATACCCAATGTCCATAGCAACCACAATTTCACGTTACCTCGATGAAACCGAACACCGGTAGCCAAGAAGTGGTATTAAAATTATCCAAAATGGGGTGACGACCAAGAAACAGATGCCCAACCAACATATATTCACAAAAACGCCGTTACCTTAAGGTACCTCCCAATCCCCTATAACCCCCGTTCACCCATGTACCTGTCATCCACCACCCCATGGTCATTCCTCGGACACTCCATCTCAACCTAGTAACCACCCAATCTCCAAAATTGAGCGGCTACAGGTTTTAAGGAGGCCACATTCCCTAAAACCCAGCTCGTCTAGATGACCGGCTAGCTGTTCTCAAACACAGCATCGCGACGCTGAACCCTCGACGCCGCTCTCCTCCGGGCAAGAGAAGAAGTCGAGTTCCCAGGTGTCGTAGTAACAGTATTAGCAGGAGGAGGAATCCATGTAGCACTGCACACAGATAATTTCGTTAGTCATCAATCATCTAGCAAAGTCAAATCCTCAACCGGAAGAAGAAAAAAAAAAGGAAAGGAAAACCTACCCAGTATAACCCGTCGGACTTATCGTCAACATACCCGTCGTATCCAACGGATCAAGTTCATTCCCCGCCGCATTCCCCCTCGTCGGCACACCTCCAACCCTACAATTCTCCAAATGGTCCGCCGGGAACTGTTTCCCCCTCAGCTGCTCCGGCCCCTCGATGAAGCTCGCCGTCAGGCCCATCTCCACATGCCACTCAATATGGCAATGAAACAGCCACACGCCCGGATTATCCGCCCTGAACCTCAGCACGGCGTGACTCCACGACCAGACCGTCACTGTATCCCGCCGGTTCGGCACCGGGTTATAGTTCACGTCGCGACCGGGCCAGTCACCGGCGTACGGCCTGGCGCGGTCCAACACCTGGAAGCTGTGGCCGTGCAGATGGAACGGGTGGCCCGCGGCTTCTTGGTTGTTGATCACCAGCTGGACGATGTCCCCCTTTTTCACGACGATGGGGTTGATTTGGCCGTAGACGAGGGGGTTGGTGTTGTTCTCGCCTACTGTCGCGGCGGTGTACAGCGAGGGAACCTTTTGGCTGATGAAGGGCTTGCCGTTGAGGCAGGCGCGCGGATAGCCGTTGGCGTCGAGGCAGAAGCGGAAGTCGAGCTTGACGAGGTGGTCGTAGGCGGGGATCATGGCGAGGTTGTCGAGGGGTTTGAAGTGCGTGTCGTCGGCGGGACGCCAGACGTCAATGGTGTTGGTTGGACGGGTAAGGGGAGCGTTTTCGTCCATCATGAGCCAGGCAGTTTGGTTGTGAGGGAAGGCGGGGGCGAGGGTTTGGTTGCGGAAGTCCCGGTTGATGTCGAGAGCGACGAGGATGGGGTAGTTGCCCGAGTCGCGGTCGATGGCGGAGATGAGGAAGTCGTACCGCTGGGCGGAGCTGGCATGTAACTGGTAGGCGGTTTCGGTTTGGAGGTAGGTGGAGTCGCTCATAATCATGGTGAGAGGGTGTGAGTCAATCCAGAGGAAGGCAGAGGCAAAGGCGGACATGTTGATGAGACGGACGCGGTAGGTTTTGCCCTTGACAAAGTTGAACTTGACATCCTTCTTGTCGTTAAGTAAAATGGTATCCGGGAATGGTGGAGCGAACCGCGTGTTGGCAGGAGACAGCATGTTCTGAACAAGCGGGATGCTCTGAGAATGGTACCTATGACATTATTAGATACTTGCTGGCCCAAGTTAAGAAGGACACTTACCAATCGGACACAGTCAAGACAATCTCCTCATCATACCTGCCCTTGTAGGGGTCATTGGGATCTTGAACAATAAGGGGCCCACGCAGGCCATCCGGATATTGTCCCTTTTCGTGGGAATGATACCAAAACGTGCCGGGTTCATCAAGCTGTGACCATGTAAGCCATAATTCAATCGTAAATCAGAAGAGACAGATGTCTTACCAAGAACTTGTACTGAACCGAGGATCCAGGAGGGGTCGGACACTGGACAACACCACTAGGTCCATCCATCTCAGGAGTTTGCAGTTGGTTGATACCGTGCCAGTGAATACCAGTTGTCTGGTTACCAAGTCCATTGTGGAGGTTCACAATGAGAGTGTCACCGACGTTGACCTCAAGCTTGGGACATGGCCACTGGTTGTTGATACCAATGACAGGTCTCCCAAAGCCATCAGGGGAAGCCCAAACCCATGTGACATTCCAGTTGATGGTGACAACTGCTGCCCTGGCAACTGTGCCAAAGCATAGTAATGCCAGGGAAACGAGGAGCGACCACATCATGGTCCCGGTTGGAAGGAAGAGTCAAGCCAAAAGAGTGGCAACGGAGAGGGTATTAGAAGATGGGCAAAGGTCAACTCAGAGCTTGGCGATGTAAATCAGGATGGAGGGATTGGACAAAGACATGATTTTTGAACGGGCGAAGTCTCCGTATATAAGCAATAACGACAAGATATCGAGTGGATGCTGGAGTGGACATCCACAGGAGACTCGAGTGGTTTCCGCTGACATGGTGGCTCATGATGCAATTCGAGCACAGGGGTATGGTACGAAGAGTAATCATAAGTTTCCTAATCAGGAGGGTTGCCCACACGATAGCTGCACTTGCAGTCTATACTGTCCTAAGGAGGGTGTTGCGGGATGCGGCTCTAGATCCAAAGAGGCAGAGCCAAGCTGTCAGCTCGGTGATTATGAACAGCTTCATGCTGAGAGGCATCAGAGTATTGAATGGCTGCAGGACAGGTCTGCGCACCTGTAACAATCAGAAATTATTGATTGGGTGTTGAGTTTGGAGCTGGCTGGAAGAGGCGTGACTATGCGACAGATTAGAAGACGTGCAGAAGAGAGAACTAGAGTATAGTCACAAACTTGATGCTTCCACATGCCGACCACACTTGAAAGTGATTGTGTGAGAGACGGACG